GGAGAAGGAGGAGAAGGAGGAGGAGGAGGCAACTGACATAAAATCTAACAACCCTCACCTGGCAGGTGGGGAAAAACAGCTTTGCCAGTTTGCTGAAGGGTCTCAGATTGGTGGAGCACCAGGGCCACCAGGGACCCAGACGGATCTAAGAGGTCATGGTTTTTAATGGTCCATCTCAATTGTTCTCAGATTCTAATGTGAATCCTATGGTATCTCTTTCTGATTCTATATGTATATGTTGTATCCAGCCAACATCACCTATTATTCTGTCTATGATCTTTCAATGTTCGTTGCTTAAGCTAGATTTGATTCATTGTTTGGCATTTGCAGGATGTTTAGTTCCGCAGGCGGATGACTGTATATCCCCATATTGGTTCTTTACATCTCATTGTACATTTATCGTGGTATTCGTTGACAAGGATGGGGGACGGTTTGGGTGAGACACCATGCTACTTGGATGATGTCTGAGGAAACCTTTAAATGGCCGGGCGGGCCAAGGAAAACCTTCCCGGAGGTAGTCTAAAATACCTGTTACCTGTTCGTATTGTATATTTTAAAATCTGTATATTTAAATGTAGTTACCGTATAAATAGGGATCTGTGAATGTAACAGCCAGCTAAAAGAAGATACTTGTTTGGAGGGTATCTGAGATATCCCTATTCATCCCCGGTTAAGGCACAATGTTGCTGATTAAATCACATGTTTTCGCCATGGCACCATGGTTTGTACAAGGTGGTGCTCCCCCAGTTATGTTTGTTGCATTCCCATGAACTACTTCAATATAGTATATATACATAAACCAAATCCTTAAACTGGAGAATTAATCCAACTTAGCTATGATGAATCCAAAAAATAACTCATCAATCCCTATTTAAGTTTGGTTTGAAATCATCTGAATTCCCCATTTTTTGGTCCAAAAAAAACCTCCGTTTCCCTATGGAAAAAACGAGGCGGCGACCGCGGCTTGGTCGCCGGAGGACAGGTCGAGTTTCTGGCTCAGTGGATCCATTGGATGGAAAACCTATGGGAAATCTGTAAAAAAAACTATGAGAAGATGGGAAAATGGATTGGAAGATCTAAAAGTTCGAAAAAAAATACTCTTGAACATATCTACTAATCGACATGTCTCCCAGTTGGGTAAATGATAGCGACCCCTTTTGACCTTAGAGATGCTGCTTGGGGAAATCATCCCCAAATGGCTGAACTAATCTGGTTCAGGAAATGTGAGAATTTTCACAGATCCCATGAAAAAAGGAAATCATCAGATAGTAGTTCATGGGATCATACGGATATCATCATATAATGGGATGGGGGTACATAAAGGGATACATCCAACATTTCCTAACATAAGGAGTGGCTGCGTTGGACACCGGGACCCAGTGGCATGAGGTTTTGACCACTGCTCAGCATGTTTTCCAGGGTTCTATTGAAATCATTCATATAGGTGTGTTATATACTATGAATACAATATGTGTATATATATATATACACATAATATGTTTTGAATAGAATGAACGGTATGATTCATTTAATTCTATACATGGATCCCTATATAGGTACGACGTGGCAACATCTGACAGGAAAGGTTTGACATGACATCTATTTTTTTTCATTCATATTTGAGAACCAAACAATCTGAATTGATTACTGTAGTTAAAACCGAGCATTCAGAACTCTGAAATATGTGGGAACTAATTATATACTTTGAAATTGGACCCAAGTAAATTGAGCTGCGCTATAAACTCTTTATGTATTGGTGAGTAAGGGGACGGTCATAAGGTGGCTTCGCGTAAGCCAAAACTGCAGTGGCGTAAGAGCTGCGCAAGGTTTTTGGCTTTGAATGTTGTGCGTAAGCCTGCGTAAGGCATGCTTGAAAAGCACCTTTTGGCTAAAGAATGAAAGAAACATGAGGGTCAATATGCTTGGTCACGTTGATGACAGTCAAATGGAAGGGAAACCGAGCTGTAAAAACCTGCTGTAAAAAAGAAACAACTGGAATTGCACACACAAGCTTACAACAGATAATCCCTTCCTCCTAATACTAAACGTCCCCCTAATACTAAAAACAGGCATCCATCTCCAATTTCCGAAAATTTCAGTTTGGCCAATTTGACTTTTAATTGATCCCCTTTAAAAAACAATTTAAAAATCAACCTACCATTTGTGGGTTCTCCCCCCTAATACTAAAAACTAGTTCACCCCGGGGTGTTTAGTATTAGGGGGGCCTAGTCCCAATCCCTCACTCCAAGCTGCCTAGCTACTCTAGCAATTAGGGGTAAGCTTCTAACTGCCATTTTTGGCAATATTTTAATTGCGTTATATAAAGAAATTTAATTGATTTTGAGATCGGAAAAAATAGTTTTTAGTATTAAGGGTTTTAATTTAGTATTAGGGGTAAGCTTCGAACTGCCATTTTTGGCAATATTTTAATTGCGTTATATAAGGAAATTTAATTGATTTTGAGATCGGAAAAAATAGTTTTTAGTATTAAGGGTTTTAATTTAGTATTAGGGGTAAGCTTCGAACTGCCATTTTTGGCAATATTTTAATTGCGTTATATAAGGAAATTTAATTGATATTGAGATCGGAAAAAATAGTTTTTAGTATTAAGGGTTTTAATTTAGTATTAGGGGTAAGCTTCGAACTGCCATTTTTGGCAATATTTTAATTGCGTTATATAAGGAAATTTAATTGATTTTGAGATCGGAAAAAATAGTTTTTAGTATTAAGGGTTTTAATTTAGTATTAGGGGTAAGCTTCGAACTGCCATTTTTGGCAATATTTCAATTGCGTTATATAAGGAAATTTAATTGATTTTGAGATCGGAAAAAATAGTTTTTAGTATTAAGGGTTTTAATTTAGTATTAGGGGTAAGCTTCGAACTGCCATTTTTGGCAATATTTTAATTGCGTTATATAAAGAAATTTAATTGATTTTGAGATCGGAAAAAATAGTTTTTAGTATTAAGGGTTTTAATTTAGTATTAGGGGTAAGCTTCGAACTGCCATTTTTGGCAATATTTTAATTGCGTTATATAAGGAAATTTAATTGATTTTGAGATCGGAAAAAATAGTTTTTAGTATTAAGGGTTTTAATTTAGTATTAGGGGTAAGCTTCGAACTGCCATTTTTGGCAATATTTTAATTGCGTTATATAAGGAAATTTAATTAATTAATTAACATGACTTCGATTTGGTTCCCTAATAATAAATACCCCCCTAATACTAAAAACTACCTGCCGTGTTTTGTATTAGGGGGGGGGGTTTAGTATTAGGAGGAAGGGATTAATTAATGTACAGATATATACAGATATATGATATATGCATGTTTTTCCATGTACCTTAATTGGTGGCTCCCAATTTTGAAAAAAGAATGTGTTTTTTCGCGTAAGGAACGCGTAAGGTATGCGTAAGGAACGCGTAAGGCCCACCTGCTTTATCTGAACAGTTGCCCCATGGCCCCGAAACGCCGCCCTTTTTCGCAATTGCAATGGAAACAGCGCAGCCGCATCCTCGCGCAAGTGGTGTCCATCTTCCAAAGTCTTTCAAATCCCATGCCATGCCAGCGCCAAAAAGATCACTGGAAGAAAAACTATCAGCCAAGGCCCGAACTCTCAGCAAGCAGGCTCGAAAGCGTCGACGGCAACAGGCAACATTGAAAGCTGACGGTTCAGGCTCGTCCTCAACATCCTTTTCTTCAACATCTTCATCTTCGGATTCGACAAATGATGAATGACGCACTGAAATACTCTGTTGCAAAAAAAGACCGCGTAAGGAACGTTTCACGAAAAAAGATGATTTTGTGGTGACTTACTTTCGCGTAAGCCTTGCGTAAGCCCATAGAAAGCCCAGATCCCCGCGTAAGAGAAACCCCCAATAGCGTAAGGATGCGCAAGCATGTGCGTAAGCATGTTCTTACGACCTAAGAATCTATCAAGGTTTCCAGCATGGCTCAATTGAATGTTACATATATATATACATATATTAGTAGTGTGTTATAGGGTTATAGAAGCCCAAAGAATAGTATACCCAAGTTGGACTACTATAGTCTTGAAGACTCTTCGATTTTGGGTCTGGCCAGTGTGGCTCAATCGCCAGGACAGAGCTTGGGAGTTGCTGCTGGCCATTGCTGGGGTACCTCGCTGAGATCTCCGAAAACCTGGAAAGCCTGAAGGGAGAATGATCTAGAAATGGACAAGCTATCTCATAATATCATATTAAAAATCTCGATGATCTCCCCATTGTTAGAATGGTTTTATCATGTTTTATCCATCTACTTCCCAAGTCTTGGTTGCTAGAAAAAGTCTCATTCAAAGTCCCAGTTAACATCCCAGAAAAAAGACTCAAACTCCCATTAAATCCCAGTGAACATCCCAGAAAAAGGTCCCATTCAAGTCCCCTAAATCCCATTAGTTATCCCATTAACATGAAAAGTCCCATTCAATCGTTCAAATCCCCTTAGTTCGTCGTTCAAAATGAGGATCCCAGTTGAACATCCCCATTGAAAATCCCAGTTGATCATTTATTTTCATGGGGATTTTCAATGGGGATTTCAATCATTCAAATCCCCTTAGTTAGTTATATTGGTTCATAATTAGATGTCATAAAAATCCCATTGAATCCCCATTCAATCGCATTGAATCCCCATTAAATCGCATTAAATCCCAGTTTATAGATCTATATAGATATAATAAATCATAGTTATAAGTTATAACTATTATGAATATATGATAATAATATGTATATTCATCGTTCAAATCCCAGTTGAAAATCCCCATGGTGTGGAAATCGCCACAGGCCCATGCCGAGCCCGGTGTGGCTGGTCGCTCAGACTTGCGGCGCCTCGCAGCTGAGGCGCGACAAGGGCTCTTTTCACGACGCGACCACGGGGGTGGGGATACCACGTGTGAACCATGTTTGATCTACAAGGTGGTGCCCCCCAAGTTATAAGCTGGTTTATAATCCCATTAACTATAGATATATCTACCATAAGTGGATTGCCATTTATAGTGTATATACCCTCTGGTAATTTAACATAGCTATTGAACATGGCCATAGAAATGGTGGATTTTCCCATGAAAAATTGTGATTTTCCATAGTTTTTTGTATGTTTACCAGAGGGTATATCAGGATTATCAGGGATGGATGGTGGCTTCAAAATCGGGGTTTTATGGAGTTGAATGGGAAGTTCGTGGGATTTAACTATATGAACTCATGGGATTTGAACAGGATAAAATGAGATTTAATGCGATTCTAAGGGAATTCAATGGGATTTTTATAAGATCTAACTATGAACCAATACAACCAATGGAGTTGAAAGATTTTAATGGGACTTTAATGGAATAAATTGACTTTGCAGGGATTTGGATTATAACCAACAAGGTATGGATGGGATACCACTTTATAACAATAATGGGGATACAGGAGGATATATCGTATATAACCACCCAATGCAACTGGCTGGAGGGGTTTAAACATGCTCAGCGGAGAAATAAAGGCTCAGATTTTGCCAATAATTTTGAGGATTTGCTGTGAACCATAAACTGAAAAAACTAAAAAGTGGGAAGGTAGTTTGAGATATTTTGAGATGTTTGAGCCAACCAACAAATGATACAACAGCCATACAACAGCCCACGTTTCTGAGTGAAAATGTCAGTCGTCATAGATTGAGAGAAGTATCTAGCGCAACAACCAGCTGGACCAAGGGAGCCACATATATTGAGCCATGCCAAATTGATTTGGATTTTTTGTAACTTTGCATATGACAATCTTGGAGTTCACTTTATTTTTGAGGACGGTTCAAAGCAGCAACCCCAGAAAAGAAAAACTAAGACTGGAATCTGGTCAGTGATGAGGTCAAAAATCGTTCTTTTTGCGCCGCTGGGTGGAGCTTTTGAGCTAGGCCAAACGGCTCTTGGCCGAATTCCCCATTGAGGCGGGAGTTTTCGTGAATGGTCGATACATTCAGATGTTGGTGTGGGTCAAAATTGTCTATGTGTGTGCATTAAGTACGTGTGTATCTATTCTTATCTATTTGTGTATTACAGCCTCCCAAAAACGTGGCCCCTTGATGTGCAAGATGGCAACTGATTTTTGTTCATCCCAGTTCAACAAGGCCTATGTGTCTCCATGGCTGTTGCTTCTATTGCACTGGTGATACCAAAAATGTCCCAGGGGATTTCTTGCATGTTTGTCTTCCTGCATTCTGCACTGCTAGGTTTAGGTAGCAACTGTATATTACATATATCATATCAATTCATATCATAATATATATGTGTACACATATAATATACAATATTATGATATAGTTATGTATACACGTGTATATATGTTGTGTATATCTCCAGTCATATATCCACGGTATAGATAGACACATACATATGCAATCGGCATCGCTGGGAAACTTCATCCTTGGCTTGTCTACCAGCAAGTATTTATCTACAAAGTGGCGGCCTCCCCAGGTTTATGTGTTGGTGTATTGGTGTATAAACCCAATCAACTATGGATGTGGGTCAAAATGGAAGACCTAGGGGACCACAGATGTGAATGTCTAGCCTAGTATTAACCATCCAATTATTGGGGTACCTAATTTTGACCCACACCCCTATATTTATGTAGACATATCCTCATACACCATAATAGTAGCTTTTACCACTGATGAACAGTTCTGAATATGTGTTAACATGTTGAAACTTACCAGCCACATAACCAGGAAATTTTCCGCCAGCCACCCGGAGCTAACACCCTGCAAGCTGTTGCCCCAAGTTTCACCACCAGGAAACCGAGTCTTCCACCAGAGAGGTTGGGGGAAACGGGAAAAAGAACGGGGGGCTTGAACCCCTGCAGGTCGAAAATGTGCATATGATCATAAAATGGGGGATACTCCCAAATCATCCAAAATTAGACCATTTTAGTTTCAGACCCATGGTTTTGGGGATCCCCCATTTTAAGAAGCACCAGAAGAATTAAAGTGACCTCACTGTGAAATCGCTGACATGATGATTAATTAAGAGGAATCATCCACAGATGGCCGTTTTTGAGCTACTGTTTTTTTCACGTCAGTGAATCAATCTAATTCAGTCATATATATATATATATACACACATAATATTACATAATATAATTATACATATCATTACCATGTTTGTCGAAATTTATCCAATCAGCTACGTTTATGTGGCTGCTAGGTCATCCTACAGTTTCAATTGTTATGTTCAACCATAGAAAATGGGATGATGATTCCCGTTCTACGGTGCATTTTTCCATGGAATCTACCAGCAACCAGTGGATGCAGGCGACCGAGGTCGCCTCGATGGTGTGGATGTCGAGCTGTTGGAAGAACCTGAAGGCCGTTCTGTCGGCCCTCTGGGGCTTCCTCTGTTTTGCCGGGCAGCTCAGCCGTGGAGCCGTGGCGGACGGCGGGACATGGAAAATGTCAGAAAATGTCAGAAATCAAACAGCCTCGACATCCAATTAGAAAAACAGGCAGAGGCTTTGAACAAGTATATGTTTCAGAGATTTTCAGAGAATTCTGGTACGACTGAAGAAAAGTGGTCGAACCAAGGAATGTCATCCAGGTTGACATATTTACATATATTTACCATCCAATAATCAAACATGGCTGGCTGTTAAATCCCTTGTAAATGGCCATTTTGATGGGACAATAATCTATATATATATATATGTCAATTATGACTGCATGTTACAATGTCAGTTATAATCATCCACCTCCATCATGGGTCCGACCAACTGCCAACTATCAGGATACATTTTCTGACAGGCGGCATGGCCATCGATATAGAAAGCCATGTTGTACAAATTACCTTCAGAATCCCCGGGATCATCCGAGTTTGTTGTTATCATTTGTTATCTATACCTCCTGGCTGGTGACACATCGGTAAGTGAAGCAAAATGTGGGCTCCCAACAGCTGTCAGGTGATGACATTCTGCCAAGACATCATCACAGTTTTAGCACCTCTGACCTGCAGAGATAGAGTGGGGGTCAGATAGAAAAGTGAGATCCACCCGAAGCGTGTTGTGTTGTTATTTTACAAGGTGATGCCCCCAAGATAGCTAAGTTGGTTTATATATAACTCTAATAACTAGGACTTATGGTAGATATATCTATAGTTAATGGGATTATGAACCAGCTTATAACTCGGGGGGCACCACCTTGTCGATGTTCAGATCCATTTATATGAGATCCATTTGGGGCCAGAACAATTCTATTCAGAACCTCGAGTGTGGCCATCTTGGATTTGGATATATGGGGAGAGGTCGAGCTGTTAGACGATCATTTTTACTCAGAAAATCGCATGGTCGATAGAAAGAGTGATCAACAATGGGTGAAACAATGGGTGATCAGATCAGTGATCACCAAATGGGTTTGTTTGAAAATAGGGTACTCCCAGATTTGACGGTTAATATTAGGCTTACTCTTGAATTTATCTAGTAAAATTGCCATTTTGGGGAAGACCGGAATACAAACCCAAATTTCAATTTGGTCGACTTTTTTCGCGGTGCAAGGTAGCTGCTGCATTGGGCCAAGAGCCTGCAGAGGAGCCTGGGATAGGTCGTCGTTGAAGCAATGCTCGGTTGGCCCTGATGGTTATATATGGTTATCATATGATTGGCTTGGATAGTATTGTATCTCATTTGACCAAGAAATTGAGATAGAAGAAGTCAAAAGTGATGGTTGGTTCTGGCGATTTCCGTTGGAAAAAATAACCAAAGTTCGTGATATTCACATAGGGATTAAATCTGAAATGATATCGAATAGTGCTGTTGACTTGTTTGAGAATGGTGCGTGTTCTTATTGCGGGAATCCCTAGGTTTGAGGGCGGTTGTCACAGGGTAAGGGGTTGTTACATATTACATCACTAAAATGTGCCAAGGAATTCAATTCAGTTCTATCAGGTCATATCAACACGATGGTGGCTACGCAGATTGGATGAGATTATTAGATGCCCCTTGAAAGCTGAATCATCCAACTAATTTTGATAACGAAGTTCAGGTTTAACAATCATGGAACAATGCGTGGATTTATATTGTTGACAATGAACTGCTTAAATTTCCTTTGGCAGCATTGTTTGGATGCAGGATACTTCGAGAGCATCCGGTGTTGAGCGGCCACAGGCAGGAGTCTACTAGCAAACTGCAAAGCGTTTGGATGTGCATTGTTTCCAAATGTGTTGTGCATTTTCGGAAGAGCAAAAGGGTTGAAACCTTTTCGTCAAAATCAAGTACCTCAAAAAGGGAGACGTTAAGATTTTCATTGTTTCCCACTGAGTGTGGTAAACCCAATGCTATAAACCATCCCCAAGTTTGAGGTTTGCTATGGTTTATTATACTCCTGGACATGGGATGATGTAAAATGACCAACAGCCATGGTCGGTTCACGGGATGGTACCCGCAAGTGACGAAGCAGAAACATAGCCACATATAGCCATATAGCCACTCAAGGTATCTAAGTGTAGATCCAAACAGTGACCAAGGGGGATGTAAGGTGAAAATGACAGAAGTAGCAATACTATGCCAAACCTAGTATTGAGATATTGGGGAAGAAGATGATGATGGGACGCTCAATATCCAGGCGAAAAAACTTATATATATATATTTATATATATATATATCATACACATACGTTGAAATATCAATTCATCCAGTGTGGAATGTTTAGCTACTTACAGATTTGGGAAGTGTTTATACTTCGATGCACAGTTTGCGTGAGTTTCATGATCCGCGTCCCGGAAGACTGTTCATGATGATTTGGTTGAATAGTTGGAAGCATCACATGGTTCATTGCTAAAGTTGCATTTTTTTCTGGAAAGACCCACATCTTTCATGTTCATGATCAACAGCGTACTGCGAATATTGCTTGCAATGCGTTTTCTCTATTGAAACAAATGTAACCTTAAGTCAAGAGAGACTTGTCACCTGCCGATTGTTTGCCCTTGGCCACGGTGGAAAATCATGATCTATGGCCATTTGGGTCATATAATAATCCATTGGCATTAGTATCATGTATTCATCATGTGTTTTCATGATGGCCAAGTATTATCATTGTTATCATTGTTATTATTTATTCATCATTATCCATTGTCATTGTTTTTTGGTTCCCATGATCAACACGACCAAGCTTCGTCAGGCCAAGCAGAAATCTCAACAAGGTGGAGTGGAGTGGATGGCTGACGTGTTGCCTAAAGAATTGGTGTCCAATGTCTAGTCGCTTTTAGTGCAACTGCGAATGTTGCTAGTTTCATTGAGGTTGGTTGCTGATGATTTACTATGAAGCCATGCAAAGTCTTGCTTTTGAGGGGAAATTAGTAATTGCGTGAGTTTTCCCAGAAGGGACACAACTTTGTTGAATGATACTATCAAATGAGGCCATCTCATATTAAAATTCTATGCCATTCTCTGTTGTTTGAACCCCATGTTGTTCGCTTCTTTAACCCTTCATGATGACTAATGGGAAGTGGCCCATGTCGACAAGGGAGTCTTCAAACAAGCAACCTGGCGGTGATGTTGGTACTGGTATGCATCAAACTTGGGTGCCACACATATTGAACTAATTATTGTGTCTCCCTTGAGTAGCTCGCTAAACAAACCAAACTAAACAGACATGATTGACTAGCACATCCATGGCCCGAAGGGGCCTGGGAAGATAACTCGCTCATCACCATCATGGTGATGGCAATTTTGGATTGGTTTACTGCCTTCTATTGCGTGCGGGGATCATGTTTCATAGTTTCCCCGATGTTTCCAGAGAGTCGTTTTAGAGACTCATTATTTTTGGTCCTTCTGACTAAATTCGTATGCTGTTGTTTGTTGGTTGCGTACAATTATTGGAGACGACCAACCTACAAGCAGTGGTACTTTTCTGGTTGGTGGGTTGAATTTTCCTTGTTGGTGAAATCGACACTTGGTGCTCCCCCATCTTTCTTTCCCAGATGCTCCATGTATGGAATATTTACCTACATTTACCCAAAAATCACCCAAATGTAGGTAAATATACCATACATGGAGCATCTGGGTTTGTTAATTCACTGTTTATTGGTTGAAACACCACAGTTTCTGTGAAGAAATCTACTCCCAGTGACTCGACCCAGATCCACATCGTCAGTGCCAGGAAGGGTGACCCCACAGGCAGGGCCAACCTCGGGCTTTGAAGGGAAGACAAGCCTGGTATAGCCTGGTTTCTCGGCGGTTGCAAAAGCATTGCAAAAGCCATATGGATCTATGTATGTATATACATGGTAGTAACATATATACATATATACATATATATATATATTATATAATTATATATATATGATGTACTATACGTATTCTTTGGCTATTTTGATCAATTGTTTGAAAATAGTGGTTTGTGTTTGATCTGAGCACTCACGCGACATCATACCGTTTGCATGGTATTTGGTTCCAGTTTAATTCATGTTCAAACAACTTCAGCATCAATGGTGAGTAACGTTGGCCAAACCATCAACAGCTTGTAGATCCGGTTTGGGATTTATTCTGATTTGTTTTAATGATATAACTGATTTATGTGCATGCATATTTAACAATTTGATGTGTGGGTATAATTACTATAAATATGCCGTAAAGTTCCACACTATGATGTGTGGCGAGAGAGGACTTTGACAAGACTTTAGGCACATGGCTGTGCCTTTGGATAGGGCCTACCATCGGGGATTCATAACTCATGGATCTCACTCTTCAGGAGTTCAATTCGAGGTGGACCCAACAATAAGACATAACATGCCATAACCATCCAGAACCACTAGTACTACTATCCGCTAATATCCACTCATATCCAGTATTGTTAATCAGAAATGGCTGGTAGAAACCATTCCCCACCAGCCCAAAACAACGCTGTGACGTTGCTCAGCGCTCAGCAGTGTCTGCTCAGCAAGGCCAATGGGATCCATGAGGAGGAGGAGGAGTCCGCGCAGAGGTGTTGCATCGCCTAGCGGAGCCAAAAAGTCCAACCAGCGAGCTGGTGCGAGCTGGTGAGAGTGCAGGGGCCAGAGAAAAAACACATGTTGAATTATTGCTGTTGTGAGATATTTTTACACTATATCACTATGGTGATCATAGTTCTTGAATTTCTTTGACAATTTCTTGATGAGTTTCTGTTATGTAGTGTAGGGAGACAGCCTTTGTGGGTGCCAATGAAGGTGAGCGAAAAGATTCTTGATGTCAGAAGCTGTGCGATGTCACGGATTGATTATGCTGAACAGTTATTAATTTATTATATATACTAGATTCTTGGCACGACATGTCAATGTGTTGTCCTTCTAGTAGTAGGAGTAGTAGTAGTAGTAGTAGCAGTAGTTGATGGAACCTGTTGTCCGGAAGTTTTGGCCAACAATGGTCACAGTGCAGGAATCATGCAGTCATTTTGAATCAGCTTCGGCATGTACCAGTGTCTATCGAACTGAATTTGTATTGCAGCTGTCGATGTCTTTAGATTCCATTCTGTTTGGCTGGCAGCATTTTGCTTGTAGGATTGGCTGCGTGCGCAATGCACGCCACAGAGGCCAAAGCGAAAGCTAAGTCCAAAGCAACACCCCAGGCCAGTCCCAGTGCACAAGACTCTGCTGGAGCGCGGGTTGACAAGTGTGCCTGGTGTGCAGAGAGAAGACAAGGATGGTGTGACCAAGTATCCTTGCGGTTCTATTGTGAACACTGCTGGACCGACTACGATACACTTCAGGATGCGGGCCATGCAGATTACGCTGGCAGAGTATGGCATGATGAAATCCTCGAAGAGGACAATATCGTTGCCGAAGATGAGGATGACGATGGAAGAAACTTGCTGGAGTTCACGAAGAATGCCTTGACCCAAATTGAAAGTGACAAAAAAAGTCCTAGCAAAGACCCTGCAGACGATGGTGACATGAGTGACAATGAGAGCGATGAGGCGGACGATGAAGTGACAGAGCTTCCCAAGGCCTTTGGGAAGGCAGCGAAGCCTGCAGAGTTTGAAGTGCAACAGGCGCATGTGGTTCTGATTGTAGACACCTCCGGATCAATGCGAACCAGCGATGTGAAACCCGAGAGCGGCGTCAAGCACATCACACGCATGGCAGCTGTCACACATTCTCTATCTACATTCTTCGACAAGCAAGTGCAATCTGGTTGTCCCCACAAGTTTCTTGGCTTGTTTTTGCAACATGAAATTACTCAGAGTTGGCCTTTGTAGCATGGATGGGGTTTGCAGGCCTTTAGCATATCGGGTAAAATAATACTGATGGTGCTGCTTCTGCATACATCAGCCCTTGCTGCTATCGTTGTTCTGTTCTGTGCATTTAAGCGAGATATGTTTTTGCGTGGTACGCTTTAGACTGCAGAGATTTGTGAAGGAACAAGCAATCCTAATTTCATAACAAATACAGTACATTGCAGCCACTTAGACACAGTATGACACAGTGATATTATATGTTTAAACAATTTTCTAAGTGCGCATGTTTCCAATGTTTCCAAAGGTACTGCAAATATCAAAATCATATGATGCACTGGAAAGATACCCATACTACGAACCCAGCATTTCAATATGTTGGCTTGGGTAGACGGATTTTAAAACAATATATCGCTTTTCATGTCATTAGTTCGACCTCATGAGCTGCTTGGAAATATTGTTTTCAGACTCGTTTCACGCTTTGTATACCTAGATCTTCCAAAAGGCTGTTATTTCAGCCTGCGATGAAAGGTCAGCCTTTTCTTCGTTCGGGCTGATTTTTCAGCCTGCGGGCTGAAAACCCAATTCGGGCGAAAATCTCCAATGAATAAACAGTGTATCAACATCTATGGTAATTTTCTCTATTGGCACCGTCCTTTGCTTTTTACCTCAGCCAGCTAGTGATCTGTGCTGGCTGCAGACAATTTGGTTGACGGCTTCTAACACGTTTTTTGGCAATTTTGTTGATTTTACCTCGGGCGAAATTAGGCATCAAAAAGGCAAAATCTCGCGTCATTCAGGCGAAAAAAAGCGAAACACTAATGCCACATAGCCTGAAACATCATTGTTTCCCATTTGTGATCCACCTAATTTGAATATATGTTGCTCATCTCTATGACAGTCCAACGATTGATTATCAATCCACTCTAAACATCTATCCTGCTGAATATGGCCAAAATTGCCAAAATCCATTCGGGCGAAAATTTGAGGCTTACAGGATTCGGGCTGAAATTTCAGCCTGAAAGCATTCGGGCTGGATTTTCAGCCTGCGGAAGATCCAGGTATTAAACCTTATTATCAGGACATGATGAAGGTCTGGCATATCCGTTTGGCTCCCCTTTCTACAATTATATTATATTCACTCATTTCTCTTCATAGGCTTTCCCCGTGCCATAAGACACATTTACCCTGCCCAACAGTGAGGTTTTCCTTGATTTCCTTCAGCGAAACCAGCAGGGTGCACTTCACGGCAAAGGCTGCAGGGCACGCGAAGCAACTTGTCTCTTGGCAGGCTGCAGGGCTTGTGGCTAGTCGGGGTACCCATTTCGTTGAAGGGCTCACAGCTGCAAAAACTATCCTTCAAGCAGCTTTGGGGACACCACACCTTCTGATTTTCAGTGATGGTCGCCCAGCAGATGGCACCCAAATGATACAGACGACCCAGAAGATGTTGGCGGAGTTTCCCTTGCTGCGCATACATGCTATAGGCTTTGGTGATGGGTTGGACTTTGAGCTCCTTCAACAATTGACTTCCATAGGTCGGGGGACATTTGCTCCGTCAGCTCGTTCAGTCGCTGCGTTGAACACGGCCTTTGCATCCCTGACGTCGACCATCACAGCCACCCAAACAGTGACCAGTTCATCAAGAAAGTCGAGTTCATTTTCTTTTCGAGGCCATGAGCCACTATCAAGTGGAGAAGCTGCTTTGCATGAGTCGCGGACAAAAGGTCTGAAACTCAGGGATGTCAGTTTTGAACCTGCAAATCAGTTCATTTGGAACACACATCATTCTGTCAAGTTCACAGTGAGACGGAGATGGTTCAGCTTCAATGGAACGGATATCAAGATGCATGAGAGGTTTGCAGATTACAAGCACAATCCAGTCTCCATCAGGCTTCAACCTTTTACGCAAGGTGGCATGCGTCTTGTGTATTGCTTCAGGGATTCCACAATTCCATTGTACCTTGAGCAGCGCGATGACAAGTTTGCAATGCGAGAAGCCGGCACAGATGCTCGAATGGTGGCTAAACTGTCCAAGTATGTTGATGAAGGGCACAACTCGGCTATAGTCGTTTCTTCTCACGCCCAAAGCAGTGCTGTGGCCAGATTCTATGCTCGTGTTTTCAGGCTTGCTGTCATGGAACTCTTGGGATGGGCGGGGCGCAACATGGCCAGGATCATTTTTGTGGAGTGCTATTTGTACAAAGCCGAGGATGGAAAAGAGAATTCACCAGCCCCGTTCTTTGTCGGGGAACGATTCCTGCCTGGTGTGTTCCGCAAGTACAACTCCAATCATGGCTATGTGGATCCAGAAGTTCCCGAATCAGAAGTTGCTCAGGCATTTTCCCATTTCACATTTCAAGCCAGTCAAGGTGACCACATGGTTCTGGACTTGCAGGGTGTTCACTTGGACAAGGCGCAACGGAGAAAACCACACCTGATTCTCACAGATCCTCAGGTGGTTTCAGTGGCAAGATCATTTGGACCAGGTGACTTAGGAGAGGAAGGCATGCGCGCCTTTTTTCAATCTCATCGCTGCGGCATCACCTGCAGGAAATTGGGTTTGGACCAGAATGCATGGAAGAAAAGCCAGAGAACGGCACGGAAGGACTGAGTCAGTGGGAGAAAGTAATGGTTTGCGTCCTGTGCATGCATACTTCATAATTTTTCCTGTTGATGAATCTCTTGGTAAGGATAAGTGTTGCAATTTTGCTCTCTAAAGAATACCCAAAACGGGAAGAAACACCAGGGGCTCCATGATATTGAAGCAAATATAGTGGGTCACCTTCTCAATTGAAACAATCTTGGGAGGAGCCTTCATCGTCTTCTACCAGGAGCGGTAGCTCCGTGGTTCCAGTGACACGGAGCACCCCCTCCGCTGCAGACACCTCTGGAAACATTTCGGATTTGCGGCTTGTAGACCTTGTTCCCAATCATGAAGCCCAAGTGACGCCAGTGGTCACCTTGCGAGGACCTCCCGCAAAATTTCCTGCACCAATCCCCCCATCACTGCTACCAAAAGTTGGCGTGGGGACGGTGCCTATCCCGGTCCATCAACAGCCTGCGCCACTGCCACCTCCTTGGCGCCAGCCTGAGCCAGCTGTGGCAGCACCGGGTATGAACCGATACCCGCCCAACTTTGGTGCAAAACCTGATGGCCCTCTTTCTGCTTTGATGGCCCGCTCAGGGGCGGAGACTGGCAGGCCAGACTATGACATGTTGCTCCAAAGGCGCCAAGCTCCTGGAAGTGAGGTGGCAGCAACGGCAACTTTGGCCAGTCCGACCAGTCAGACTTTGCAAACGAATCCTGCTGAGAGCTCCGTTTCAGACGCAGCTGTGCAAGATCAAACTGGGATTCAAAGGGCTGAAAGATGTAGTGTGGATACTGCGCAGGCAACTTCGCAAGGCGGCCCACCTTCACCCAATGACAGCCAAGTGTCCACAACTTCCTCGAAGCTTGCAACCTCCGGTGAAGAGACTGCAGTTGAAAGTCCGGAAGTCAAAAAGTCAGTGGTTTTTGGGCCACAAGACAAGAAGATCACTTTATCTGCATCCTGCAGGGGCCATGTAGTGGCGGCAATTGCCAGGGAGTTTTCCATTCCAGAGGATGAGCAGCATTTGCTTCAAGAATCCTCTTCGCATCCCACTATTGATTTTTACCGTGTGGAGCACAAGATGGACCCTCGCAAGTTGAGATTCACGCAGAATAGCATCAACCCAGCATTTCGCAATGGGAGGCCCATCTTTGACCTCTTGAATGACTTGAATTCTCAGAACATTGACCCGTTGTGGGAGTTAGAGCCATTAGATGTCGTTTGGCACAACGGCTTTTGGCGGTCCTTGTCCAACAGAAGGCTTTGGGCTTTGAAACACTGCACCACGGCATTTTCCAGCCAGCCGCTGTATGTTCGGGTGCGGGTGAGGCAACCTGATGCCAACTTTCGAGCCAAATCCACGAGTACCAATGATGGCGTTTCAGTTTTGATTATGCAACGTCCCAGGTCACCTTCGCCATGCGCTGCCAAGGTTGCAGCAGCCATTTGACAGCTTTCAATCTAAGATTTTAAATGTACAGCCACAAGTCCAGATCCAGGACCCGGACAAGCAGCAAAGTGCAAAAAGTGGCGTTGCCGTGTTTTCCTCCGAATCAAAAATTGTGTGTTTTCCATACAACAGTTTGGTGGGCGACAGGCATGCCATGGGAATGCCAGGAATCGATGTCAGCATCTACAGCAGTGCAGGTGCTTTTTCATTGCTTTGTCAAGTTTGGTGCCAAAGTCGCATGCACGATGCAAGAAATGATTGTGCTTTTTTCGTGATCAAGTATTTGCTTGCACGCAAAGCATGCTGGATTTGGCATTGGAAGTGACAGTATCAAAAGCTTTTCCTTTTATGAATGATACACAAGAAAATCAACCTTTGGCCCAGGCATTTTTATTTTCACATTTTGTTCCCCAACAGCGTAAGCTTGGGGTCTTCAGCCATCGCAGGAACAGGTTCCCAAGAACAGGTTCACAAGCAAGATTCCCAAGGACGTTACAAAGCAAAGTTCCCAAGCAAGGTTCCCAGGAACAAGGTTTCCAAGCAAGTTTTCCAGGAACAGGTTCGCAAGAAAGGTTACCAGGAACGATTCCCAAGCAGGGTTCCCAAGAACAGGTTCCCAGGCAAGGTTCCCAAGCAAGGGTTCCAGGAACAGTTGCCAAGCAAGGTTCCCAGGAACAGGTTTCCAAGCAAGTTTCCCAGGAACGGGTTTCCAAGAAAAGGTTGCAAACAAGGTTTCCAAGAATAGGTTCGCAAGCAAGGGGGTTCCAGGCAAGGTTTCTTCTCAACAGCTTTCCAAGCAAGGTTCGGAAGACCAGGTTCCCAAGCAAGGTTCGCAAGAACAGGTTCACAAGCAAGAGTTCCAAGAACAGCGCCCCAAGTTCCCAAGCAAGGGTTCCAAGAACAGGTTTCCATGCAAGGTAGCAAGGTTACCAAGCAAGGTCCTTGGGAACAGGCTCCCAAGCAAGGTTTCCACGAACAGGTCCCCAAGCAAGGTTCCCAAGGACAGGCCTGCATTGCAAGCAAGCTTCGCAAGAACAGGTTCACAAGTAAGGTCCCCAAGCACGTTCCCAAGCAAGGTTTCCAGGAAGAGGTTCCCAAGCAAGGGTTCCCAGGAAGAGGTTCCCAGCAACAGGTTCCCAGCAACAGGTTCCCAGGAACAGGTTCCCAAGCAAGGTTCGCAAGAACAGGTTCACAAGCAAGGGTTCCAAGAACCGTGCCTCAAGTTCCCAAGCAAGGGTTCCAAGAACAGGTTTCCATGCAGGGTATCAAGGTTACCAAGCAAGGTCCGGCTTCCACGGAAAGGTCCCCAAGCAAGGTCCCCAAGGACAGGTTTGCATTGCAAGCAAGCTTCGCAAGAACAGGTTCCAAAGCTCCCAAGCAAGGATTCGAAGAACAGGTTCCCAAGAACAGGTTCAGGTTCCAAGCATAAATTCTCTAGGAAGGTTCCGAACAGTACTGTAGGTTGCCAGCACGGTTCCCACGAACATGTTCCCAAGCATGGTTTCAAAGCAAGGTTCCTCAGCAAGGCTTTCAATCACAGTTTCGCCAGCAAGGTTTCGAATAATGGGTTGACAGGCAAGGTTGTCAAGAAAGGTTCCAAAGCAAGGTTGCAAGAAAGGTTCAACGAACAGGTTCCCAAGCAAGGTTCCCAAGAACAGGTTGCTCATGTTCCCAGGAACAGCTTCCCAAGAACAACTTGCAAAGCAAAATTTCGATGAACAGCTGCAAGCAAGGTTGGAAGCAAGAACAGAATCCCAAGCAAGGTTTTGAAGGACAGGTTCCTAAAACAAGGTTCCCAAGCAAAGTTACGAAAAACAGGTTCCCGAGCAAGGTCCCAATGAAGAGGTTTGAATCAAGCAGGCAAAGTTTCCAAGAACAGGTTCCCAAGCAAGGCTCCCAAGAACAGGTTCCCAAGCAAGGTTCCGATGAACAAGTGTCAAGCAAGGTTTCCAAGAACAGTTGCCGAGGCAAGGTTCCCAAGAACAGTGAACAACAGAATGCTGCAAAGTTTGAAGACTTGTTCTAACAACGGAACGGAGAAATTGAAGAACTAGGTTTGTTTCAAGAACTGATACGGCACTCGCATGGATAAAAACACTAGACGACAGAGTGGCCTGAAAGAAATCAGGAGGCAGGAGACGAGAAGATAATACACAATAAAAATGATGATAGTGATGATGATGACGGTGATGATGATGATGACGACAATGATGATGGCGATGACGATGACGAGGATGAATGACGATGGAGGTGATGATGAATGATAGCTGACGCGGGTCAAATGCCATATATCATCATATATCCACAGTTTCATGCCTCTTTCGTCCCCACAGAGGGTTTGCTCCAGGGCTGGCACCTGAGCGACAGTCAGAATCAAAAGACATGTTGTTTTCACACAGCGAAAAAATTACACAGAGAAGATCTTACACAGAGAGGCCTTTACACAGAGCTACTTTTTCACAGACGCTTTTGCACACAGACGCTTTTACATACAGAAGCTTTTACACAGAAAAGCCTTTTGTCACGAAGCCTTACCACACGAAGTCTTTACACACAGCCGCTTTACATACAGAAGCTTTTTCACAAAAAAGTTTTTGCACACAGGAACTTTAACGCGCAGGTGCCCAAGCTTATACACACAGGAGCTTTTGCACACACACACACACGCCCTTACACAAAGAAGCTTTTAGACACAGAAACTTTTACAGCCTTGTCACAGGGAAGCTGTTACACAGAAGCTTTTGCACAGAGATGCCTTTACAAACAGAAGCTTTTACACACATAGGCTTTTACTCAGAGAAGCCTTTAAAGAGCAGCTTTTACACACAGAAGCTTTTACACAGACGGAAGCTTTTCACTGCAGAAGCTTTTTCACAGACAAGCGTTTGCGGGAAGAAACTTTGCGCACAAACGGTTTTACACACAGCAGCGTTCACACAGAGAAGCCTTTGCGCGGCCAGCTGTTACACACAGGTTTCTTTTCACAGAGCAGCGTTTACAGACCGAAGCTTGACACAGACAGGCCTTTACACAGAAAAGCTTTTACACACAGAAGCTTTTACACACAGACGCCTTTGCACACACACACACAGATGCTTGTACACAGAGCAGCTTCTACACACAGACGCTTTTACACAGAGAAGCCGTTACACAGAGCATCTTTTACGCAGAGCAGCTTTTGCACACAGACGCCTTTACACAAAGAAGCTTTTATACACAAACGCTTTTACACATAGAGGCCTTTGCACACAGAAGCTTTTACGCACAGAAGTTTTGACACAGAAGCTTTACACAGAGAAGCTTTTACACAGAGTAGCCTCTACACAGAGCATCATTTATACATAGAAGCATTTACACACACATAAGCTTTACGCACACGCCTGTGCACACAGTCGCTCTTACGCAGAGAAGCTTGTTCACAGAGCAGAGTTTACACATAGCAGCTTTTGCGCACCGAAGCTTTTACACACAGAGAGAGGCCTTTGCACAGAACAGCTTATACAATCTTATGCACACAGAAACTTTAACACGCAGATGCGCAAGCTTTTACACAGAGGAGCCTTTACACACAGAGGCATTTACACAAAAGTTTTGCACAAAGTTGCGGCAGATGCGTCTACACACAGAAGCTTTTGAACACAGATGCCTTTACACACAGTAGCATTTACACAGCGACGCTTTGACATAATATACACGCCTTTACACAGAGAAGCTTTTGCACACAGTTTTTTTCAGAGAATCACAGAAGCTTTGGCACAGAGAAGCCTTTACACAGAGAATCTTTTACACACGGAAGCTTTTACACATAGAAGCTTTTCCACAGAAGCTTTTACACAGAGAAGCTTTTACGCACAGGAGCTTTTACACACAGACACCTTTACACACAGATGCTTGCACACACGGAGGCTAATCCACACAGAAGCTTTTACACAGAGAAGCCTTTACACACACAGACGCTTTACCACAGAGCAACAATTTCCACAGAGCAGATTTTACACGCTTCAAAATCGCAATTTTACTTAAGTTTTTGACGTTCGGCCATTATTTCGTGCGAAAGGGTTGCATGTGGCGTTGGAAAAACACAGTTTTTGACGTTGGACAATCATTTTGCGTAAAAGGGTTGCGCCTTACCTTGTAAAATCGCAATTTTGCACAAGTTTTATTTCGCGCGAAACGGTTTGCCTGACAAAGTCGCAATTTTTACACCAATCCTTGAACGTTTGCGTCTGACGTTGAAAAATCTCAGTTTTCCCACAGTTATTCCCCTTTGGATTCACGCCACGCTCGCATCTGAACTTTCAAAATCGCAATTTTTCACCAGTTTTGGACGGTTGACCCTCATGTCGTGCGCCGGGCCTCACCAAATTTGCACTTTGCCAAATGTTTGGACGCCCGACCTGTGCGCAAAAGAAGTTCACACTCCACCAATGTTTAGGCGTCCGACACACACGATCTCTGCAGACGGTTGCTACGGGCAAAGAAGATTCGCATTTCACCACACCACATGTTAGCCCATCCGACACGCGCCATCTCCGCAGAGGGTTGCGCAAGGACAAACAAGACCCGCATTTCGCCACACGTTTGGGTGTCCGATATGCCGCAGAGGGTAACATTTCGTACGCCACCGCCTGGCTGTCCCTACCGCAGAGAGAAATAGAAGAACTGGAGAAATCTGATTTTGCAGGACTTCAGATACAGTTTGATCATCTGGAAGTTAGCTGAGCTCCTGTGTAGCAACTCCTGTGTGCAGGAGTTCAATTAGAAGTGGATCACCTGCAAGTCAACTCCTATGTAACTGAAATTGCTTAAGTTTTGTAGGAGTTACCTAGAAGTTGATCACCTGTAGCTGATGTAGGTGAAGTTGTCTATGCTGTAGGTGATGAGGATAAAGTTGTAAGTGATGTAAGGTTAGATAGATTAGACGATGTAGGTGATGCAGAGGATGTAGTGATGTAGATGATGATGTAGGTAATGTTTGTAATGTAGATAAAGTATGTCATATGGATGAGGTTCATGAAACATGTGTAGGTGGTGTAGAGAATGTAGGTGAAATAGATGTAGATGATGTAGGTGATGATGATGACGATGATGATGATGGTGATGATGACGATGATGATGATGATGATGATGCAGATGTAGATGTAGATGTATATGTTGATGATGTTGTTGATGATGATGTTGTTGATGATGATGGTGACGCTGATGCCGATGATGATGATAGTGGTGATGATGATGATGATGATGATGTAGATGTAGATGTAGATGTACTTCTAGATGTAGAGAAGGTGGTGCACAAGATGGTGTAGAATATGTAGGTGATATAAAGGATGCAGGAGATGTGGATGATGTATGTTAGGTAGATGAAGTGAAGAGTGGGGCGGGCAGCAGTTCTTTGGGAAAAACCCTTCGGACGAGCTTAGTATTGCCAACGCTTTTGGAAAAGCGGTTTTCATAGAGTGTTTGTGCTGTGATTGCGCCTTGCACGCCCGGCCTCTAGAGTAAGAAGGGCTGGGCTATAAACATATTTCACTCATTGCGTGTTTGTTAACTGTTTTTGTTTCTGGCTGCTGGGGATACTCTTTGGGCTTATTTCTTATTAGAGCCGCCAGGACAATATGATGAAATTGCTGTTCCTTCCATGTTTTGTTGATTTGGTTCAGCTCAGCACAAGGAAAGTCGATCCGACTTGAGAAACTACATACTTATTTGGGACTTGTTAACCAGCAATGTCCTTCTGCATCGGTGAAATTTTGGACAGGAGGCTGGGCCGCGGCCATGGAGGGCAGTGGATAGACATACGCGGTGGTCCGAGTCCGGGTGCAATGGATAGGTGGATGCTAGTAAGTTCAGTGGTTGGACCCGAATGTCGATGTAGCAGATCCGTGATCAGCGCATTTGATATTGCTTCTCAGAGTATGAGGGTGGCCAATACTGTGTTGTCGTGGGGGCTGATGAGGATAAAAGGGGGCCAGGTGGAATGCCATGGCTGCTAGGCCCACCTTTCATATTTTGGTGCAATTTCGCACGGCTTAATCAAGGCTCATGTGTTTCAACCAATTTTAACCAGCTGCAGCAGACACGTTTTTATTACAATAAACATGTGCCAACCGTCTGGCATTGGGATACCTCCTAGTGTGTTCGCCTCAAAGTTGCAATAATCAAAAGTAGTTATTGCATTTTGATTTGTAGTTCGTAACCAAGCCCCTGTGAAGAATGCATGTTGAAACGAGCCAACAGTGATGGTAAGGCAATTTGCAGATGATCAACCAGCTCGAAAGCCGGTCGCCAATAAACGCGAACATCGTCCTGTTTGTGGGACACCCCAAAAAATTCAAAAAATGCAACCTGCTTCGTCACAGTTCATGCGCATTTTTTGGTCGAAAGACATGGTTGTGATATTCGTACTTGGCGTAAGATCAGCCCCCAAGTTTGGATACTTTCATATCGCCATGCTTCTTGGATGCTCCTAGTTCAATGATGAAAATACCATGTTTGTTCATACACCCATGTGTGGTGGATAGATAGATCATTACACAATTTGTTCTGTTCATTTTTCCCACAATGTTTGTTGGTTGTTTTTTGCTGTTGTTTTCCTATATGTGGTTTGGGCTTGATGAACTACCTGGAGCCGTGTTTGATCGTTGACATCGCGTGTTTGACCGTGTCATTGTCCATCTTGTGGCCGATTTTCTTGCCAGGAAAAGATGGAGGCCAAGGCCAAAAGGGCGGAAATTTACAGATGGTCGGAGGCATCCAAGCTTTGATCCCCATTGCAGAACTGAAACCATTTGTTTTGAAGGTGTCCCACTAGGGACTGCCATTTTTTGTTTGTCATTTTTTAAATAGGTGAATGTTTGACAGGCAAACCAACATTTCAATGATTTTTTGGTGAACTAAAACATACTAAAACAAATTACATAGATCTGACAAGAGATGATGGTGTATATGGAAAAGGACCCGGTGCAAATATAGAGCCATGCAGGGAAGGGTCAAAACGCCGTTTCAGGTTGATTTCGTTTATTTGCCCATTCTTTATTGGTTGGTTTTCTATTATCAATCCAGGGTCAGGACTCACGACCCACTGATTGCTGGCGAGCCCACGCTCCCACAATATCCGCCGGTTGATTTCTCATTTTCAATGGCGAGTACCCAATACATTGTCATGTTTCTAGTCAAATGATAATACTCCATGCTGTGCCCAATTTGGAACCAATCACGAGTTTTGCCTACCACGGTTTGACTTCTTGTTGAGATGTATCTCCCAGCTGCTACCATTGAAATTTGGTGAGATTTGCATGCGTGCTGGATTAATCCGTATGTAATTTGTAGTGGATGTTTACTCCATGTTTTCTTTGTTTTAAATCCATTTAAATCTTCTTGTTTTTAGCAAGTTAGATCCATATATCTCAGATGGTTAAACTATGTTGAAATTCTGGTTTGGCTTTCGAAACTTCAAATTGCTTCATTGTCCTTCTGTTAATTTGCAATAGCTATGGAAAATTACCAATTTGTAGGAGATGTACCCGCAAAGTCATAGCCATCTTCCATGACCATGCTGAATACCAGAGGGCGCATCAAAATATTTCTCCATTGGTCACCTTGCAGGAGAAGGGCCAAGCGAAAGAACGCGAGCCTCGTGTGGCCCCGGGCCAGGCTTGGCGATGGGAAAAGTTTCGCCACTACAAGATTTTGGTAGTGGTTGATAGTGGTCGGTAGTGGCTTGTAATGTTTCTGGAATAATCAATTTGGTTAACTATACGTTTGAAGTCTTTGGGATGAGGTGAAGCCGCCAACCAGGTGGGTATGGTATATATAATGCCCAGACCGCAAACCCCGAGAAATATTATGATAGGGATGGTAAAGGAATTTTAGACATCACCTTTCAGGACATATAGTCATATAGTTTGGTTTTGCCCCCCAAAAGTCGTTGGAGATCTTCGTGCCGACAAACCTTTTATCAACAATTGCTGTTGTATGTCCTATAGAAAATGTTCCCATCGACCCTTCGCTCTGGCATCACATATACATATACATAGACATATACATACACAATTCCCCAGCCAATTTCCCCTATAGAACTGGGACACCTAGGTGCTGTATAAAACTTTTTTTTTTGGTACAGGTCCCCCCTCAATTTCAGCTGCCCTGTTTGCCTTGTTTTGGTGGGCTCTAATTTTATCTCAAGCCTCCGGGTCCCAATTATATATTTTTTTGGGTGCCTAAATTTAGTGACCTAGGGCTCCAATTTTATATGAGGCTCCAAGTCTATAGGGACATATGTCGGTTTTGTATGGTTTTGTTCAGTTGCCAATTTTGTAGTGTATCGATGCATGGTTTCATGAAACAACTTCGTCACCAAAGGGTTCCAATTTTGTAGCTACCTGCAATGTGCTGCATGCCAGGGTTCCAATTTTATAGTACCTATTTGTTTTTGCTACATCAAAGCGCTCAAGCATGCGCAATGCGCATGCTGGAGAAGAGAAAAACATTACAGTAACAAAAAACATGATATGATATGAAATGATATGTGGGAATTTGATATGATTTGATGGGATTTGATGGCTTCTTGCATCGTGCTTCTAAATGCATTAAGAAAAAACAAAAACATATAAACAAAAATGCCAGGTTTTAGTTGGACCTTGAGGGCTGCCATTTTGCAATCCCTACATACATCTAAAAACTGCCTTCGAATCAGGGGTTCCAATTCTATAGGGTTCGATTGCTACAAAATTGGAGGTTTGACATGGTTTCACTTTTGTGCCTTCGATTGATGATGACCCCAAAACTTCAGTCTACAGAATTGGGGCATTACTTTAACTGAGATAAAAAATGAGGACCACCTAATCGAAGGAAAATAGAGGGGCCCCCAAGATTCGACTTGGCACACCAAATTCTAATTTAAACAACGCCAATGATCAAACCATTTTGGGTGGCCCCAATTTTATGGAGGTCAATGTGGAGCTAGTACCACGCACACATTTGACCTGGGTGTCCCAATTTTGTAGTGTTGTGGGGCTTGATGATATGGATGGATTACTAGCAGGTTGTGATTTTACAGGGCTGATTTTGTATGTGTCTGTCAGGGTTTCAATTTTATAGATGGCCCCTGAACGGCATTTTCAAAGGATACGCTATGTACCCTATAAAACTGGAACACCCAGGTTAAATGTGTGTATTGGCAAGGGGATCATATACACATACATAGACATATATGTATTTATTATATATATATATACATTGCAGAGCTGCAATTTTAAAAGACCTGCATCATTGAAAAGCAGCACACAACCCAACGTTCTGCATCCCAAAGATAAACTTCACCTGGCCTGTGTGGGAGTTCCAAGTCACACACACAGAGGTGCAGAAAAAAATGCGCGTTTCGACCCTGCCCAGTCTATATCTTGTATAGCTGGAATGGCCAGGCGCTGCTATTTGCGAGCGGGCCCACAAAAGTGAAATTACTCCTTTTAAGTGAAGTCATGAAACCAAGTTCAAATCAACAGACATTCAAGTACAAGTAGTCATGATACCAACATATCCCAACCAACTTCTGCGCTCTTTGGTAGCTCCAGGATGCTCCAGGTACTGGTTGATTATGCAACCCACCTCTTCGATAAAAATTGTTCAGCCAAGCGACCTTTGCCCAGTCGTTGAAACCGGCCGCCACGGATGTGTTCCAGCGGCTGCACGCGTCGCATGCGGAAGCTGGGCTGTGGAAGCGGTGGGCGGGTGAGATCCATGGGGGTGGTAGAAGCGACCCATTGCTTGATTTCCCTCTTTAAAAAGTTCGGAAACCAGCTGAAACAAAAAGACTTACTGTCTCATATTTGTCTATATTGGTAACCCATGGGAACCCAATGAAATTTTATAGGTATAACATGGTATAGCCAACTAAAAAACGGTGAGCATGGGGAAGCCCAGTGGCCAAGAGTGCGGTATGTTTTGGGGATCCTCGTACTTGCTCACCAACATATCAAGCAAAACGATTTGGTGACCTAACCAATGAAGACCAAAACCATCCGAAACCTGTGTTGCATGGTTGGTGCCTAGGTTAGGTCGTAGCAAGAAGGGGAATCAAATTCACAGTGTCTTGAAGCGAGGAGTGAAATGAAATACAATACTTGTTATCAGATTGCCAAATCATGTTGTGTGGTTTGTGGACGTTTGTAGTTTGAATCGTTTGTCATGTCCCACCTTGTTCATACTGATGATTTGACCTAACAACTATGTTTCAAGGGGTTTAACCAACAACCACCAGTTGCGCTAGTTTTTACATGTTTATACCTCTCGATCCAATGCTTTGGATTGTCCTTTCAATCATCCCTGTGGCTGAGGCGCGGGTGGAGAAACTCTCAATGATGCAGGCCGTTTGTGAGCGTGGGCCTTTCAAAATTTGAGGACATGAGGTATAGAATGGTATTAATGTCTACTTGTTGAACTGGGATTTGGAGGTATCCTATCAGACACACCTAATTGATATATATATATATATTTTTTTTAAAAAAAAAGATATAGCACAGTGCTTTGGGAAGCCAAGAACCTTTTCAACTTTCGAAGGGAGAAGCATTCTTTGTGGTTGGAGTACATCCCGTTTTTGTGCGAACCCCATTGAATGATGGTCGTATTTAGCCACATGGGTACAGATAACTTTCCGTAGGATTTTGGCATGTAATGTTACAGGATGCCCCCAAAAAAACAAATTTTGCTGCTTCCAACCCATTGCTTTTGGTCATCGCACGAATTGATCTGGTTATGCTCTTCAATTCCAGAGATCCCCAAGTGTGTTTAGTATACGTTGATATGTTGCGTCCGCGTTTTGTTCCGGATGATCGCCGGAACCCGCCGCTGCAGTTTAGATACCCGCCGCTGCGCGATGATATGTTGATTTTGCACTTGCGTTTTCCACATGTTGAATACCGGAAGATTTTCCATGGAATATCTCCCAGCGCGAAGCCATTCCAAGCCACCAAACCAAAAGCAGGAGTTGGCGCAGCAGCAGGAAGCAGCCAAGCTGGACGAACTGCAGGGGGTCCCAGCAGGACCCTGGTGGATGCCCCATGCGCCTTTGATTATGGAAAGAAGATGCACGAATGTTTTTGGTTGTCTGAATTTGGATTATGGATGATTTTGGGAGTTCTCCAACTTTGAAATCAGAAAATCTAATAACATCTAAATATTCAAAATGATTAGTGTCCCATATTTTGATGTCCATAGGTTGCTCCATTTTAGGACAAACCCTTATCCATAAAGCGCGGATTGTGGCCCATTCAATGAGAATACAACTGGTACCAACTGGTCTTCCTACCTTATAACACTTCCTAGTGAAACTATTGTTTAGCTTTGATGCGGTGTTGTAGTTCAAATTCAAACATATAAACATGACCATGTGTGAACCGCAACACTGTCATTGCAAGTCTCGCTTTGGCTTTGTTCATAGGTCGGGGTGTTGGCATTGCTGTCCCCTTTCATATGAAGTAGGGTTGTACCTAGTGGCAAGCCGTGTGGGCTGAGGTGCATTTGATCATACATGATGTCATTTTCCGACGGGTTCTTTGGTTCAAAAAGATATAGATAGCCACCATCGAGCAAGCAACAGGTAAATGATGAGGAATTCTAGATTGTATGCCAAACAGGCCCATGTTTTCTATAGGGCATCATTGTGCGCAACAAACCAAGGATATTCAAGAATGTTCTTTTGTATTGCCGTAATCCCATTTTGAGTGCTGCAATCACCATCTCTGATTTTTGAGGTTGCCCCACACCCAGTATCCATGAATATTGCACGAATTCGATGAAACCATCTTTTAATTACTTCCTGATGTTTAGTGTTTATTGCCGGCTTCTACAAACTGTTTGGTTGACCAATCCTGGCATTAGACAGGATCTACCATCCTTTTCATCCTTTTTTCTCTGTTCAAAGTCACATGTTTGGGTTACTGTGAACCCCCCATGTTTGTGAAAAAATCCCACCATTTTTGCCCACATTTTTGCCCATCATTTTTGCCCACCATGTTTGCCTGTGCGAAAAATACCTATGCCCCTCCCCCCACTGGCCCAGCCTCCCAAAACGCCAGGAAACGCTGCACGATTCGGACCTGTTCCTCTGCGGAGGAGGACTCCAAGAATCATAGAGAGTCATGATTTATTGATTTTCTTATTATTAAATATGGTGGTTGTTTTTCTTGTACATGTTCATAATGTTGTTCTTTCATCTTGCTGGCTGAGGGCAGTTGAGGGTTTCCATTTCAAGCCTGAATCTCAACTGAAGAGACTTTGCTCAGGCCTTGGGAGTTTAAGCAAATGGGCCAACTTCAGGGATAATAACTAGGTATACCTTGCTGAAGGGTTGTTCAACCATAGTGTGGGTTACAATATATGAAACTTAATCGTTAACTCTACTGTAAAGTACTTCAACTATTTCCACAAATGGCGAAATACAACCCCCAGATTTTTTTTGCAGGACATCTACAATCAGTTAACTAGCCATGCAAGCATTGGTAAGTTTGTAAACAACATTTAGTGTGGAACCTGACAATGCAGGATAAAAATTATCTTGTTGCTGTATATGTCCCATGCTGGGTTCCATTGTGAGTTTAGGGGGTGTGGCAATATTACTTGGAGATATTCAACAAACAATGTGGTGGAATTGCTGAACCACCAAGAATTTGGATGTGGCAAAGAGTACATGCAGTAAGGATGTATCTGTAGATGTTTTGCTGTGTAGACCAACCGATGAAGAGCATCACTATATCACCGTATCACAGAGATGGACTTTGAGCCTCCTTCATCCAAAAAGCATATAGACTTCACCAACAACATGCGGAGATGGTTCAATACCTTCAATACCATTAGTGCTCATGATACTGTTTGAGAATCAATTTTTGGTGCTCACCCGGGTGCACAGGTGTTTGACCAATATTTTTCCAGCAAAATTTGGAGCCATTCAAAAATATTGGCCCTGTATGTGAATGTCAAAAGCAATGCCATCCATGCTTGGGGATGGCGCAAACTTGGCTTGAGGACAAACAGTGGTGATTTACACTGTCAAGGTATAGATTTTAAGAGCAACAAGGTTCTGAAGCTGAATCTTAGAAGGTGTTTTTCCAAATTTCAATGTAGCCATTGTTTGACTTTAAGCGCCACCTTCGCATGCTCTCCTCTTGGGGTGGAAGACATCCCAAAAAAGGTCACAGAATCCAGATCTTGGTGGTTTAGAAGTCATAAACTTGACATTTTTCACCATTGTTTTCACATTTTTTCCACATTTTTCCGTGCAAAAACTTCCACATTGTTTGGGTGGATCCACCCCCCTCCGGAGGCGGGCCAGATCTACGGGCGCCTCTACGACGAGGCCCAGCTGCGGCGGAAGCGCCGCGAAGATCTGGCGCGGGAGGCGGAGGAAAAGGCCCGGGGAAGGTGTTTGGTGGGTGAAAAACGATGAAAAAAATGGGGGGAAAATGGTGAAACTGCTGGGTTTCATCAGGACAAAAAATGAAACTTTATGAAACATGGAGATATATGCACCTGGGCAACTTAGAATTGTAATATGTTATTTGTCCATTTGCTGATCGCCGTGGCGAATTGAGATCACCATTTTGGATGGCTTAGTATAGCAGCCTTCAACAAGAACAGATAAGGTTAAAAACGTTAAAACTACCATGAGTCTAGTTTGAATGGTGCACGTGTGTTTGATTGATGTTTCTAGATCTAGCTTTCCAACGAAATGCGGACTTAGGCAAGCAAGACGTGGATATTAGTTCACCAACAACTCTGGGAGCCTTCAGAAAAAGATACATTTAACATCCCAAAAAGTTGGATCTACTTGTAGGGAACAATCATGTGGATTTATGCATCGATAAGATTGTGAGCCGCAAAATGATGGTTGGGTAGGAAATCATCATGAACATGAGGATTAACATGGAAAGAGGGTGGTTTGATTTTGCTGGAACGGATTTGGTTCCGTATTTTTTCGGCTAAAACAATGGGGATTTCACCGATAGAATTATGTGGGCATGGAGGGTTGTAGATACTTTCCCGTCTAATAAATATATACATCGGAAAATCATCCTCAGGATTAGCATGGGTTACATTAACGATATTGTAGTGTTTACCCACCAAACATGGTGGCTGCTGTTCCAAAATACTGATATATGGGACTTCTTGGGAGGTTTACCTGCCAACGCGTGGATTTAACCAGCAAGAGTGCACAGTTTAATCGGCAACAAATCAGGTTGTTATGTGTTTGACCAGCAGAAACATGGGTTGAACTGATTTCACCATGAAAATAACATCTAACATGATGTAACATTTCCAATCATGAATCAACATAGTATGTTCATAGATGCGGACACCATCCCACAGATCAGAGTTTAGCTGTTTTAGCTCACAGAAACGACGCTTTAGTCAGCGAAAACATAGTGGGATCTACCTTCATCTACCCTCTGGTAAACTAACATAACTATGGAAAATCACCATTTTTCATGGGAAAATCCACTATAAATAGCCATTTTCAATAGCACCGGGGTACTCCTTGATCAACCGATGTTTCCTCAAAACAATCGCAACAGGAAACCTGGTCGTCTCAGTGGAGTTCTGCGTTGTCTTCCAGGAGCCAGGCCCTTCAAAAGCGCCGTTGCTTCAACCGGTGGAGCACAATGATTCCCACATTGGAAAGAAAACTGGTTAGTTATATAATGTTAAATAATGTTAATAATTATTGTCATCTTAACTTATGTAGTTTATATTTACCGTTCTAGTATTTGGGGTGTTGGGAAATAACCGAGCCAAAATGGAGATTAATTTAATATGTATTTATATATCATTTATATTATATAAGTATATTATAGTGTATAAGTGTATATATATATACGATGCGGATGTAGCCAATGTAAATATGGGTTGATGGTTTTAATGGTTTGCTATTCGTCATCCCAAGAAATGGGTTGATGATCCCAAGTGACTTGCTGGGAATCTACTTGAATTGAAGAAAAAAAGATGCCGGATACAGGAAACGGATGGACATGTGGCTAGTTACTGTGAATACACATTTCTTTCACAATGATGCCGTTCATCCTGTTTCCTCTACTGGTATGGTAGAGCGCCCCTCCAAGAAATACCCAGATTTTGTGGATCTGGTTGTGGTCCCAGACTTTTACCAGGAAGTACCCCGCTGGGAGCAGCTGTACAACAGCGCGCCATTGAAGGAGGCCTTCATGGGGTCGATTACAGTCATCGAACTGGGTATGGTTCAAACTCATCTACCCACCAAATTCAATGGTGCTATCATAGACTCATATCATCATGTCTAAGCCTGTAGTCACTGTAGTCCCTCTGATACCCGATTTTAAGCGATAACAGAACAAGGACTGTCTTTTACAACCAAAAAATTGGGGGGCTGTTGTTCTTTTTTGTTGCATAGTGGGATGTTGTACTGCAAAATCGGAGTCGCCGCGTGTCCAAGGCAAAATGTGGTAAACCAATCATAAACAAGCCCGCGTTCACCAGAAATGGATCGGAAAAACCATGCAACATTGGAGGTTTATTGTTGTGCTTGCTCCATTGATTTGTGTCCTTGTGAAAGGAACATCCCAAGATTTTGCTCATAATGCAGATTCTGAATTGTTTTGCTCGATGTTTGCAGCTGGGTCAAAATGTGTTTTACTGCCTTAGCGGATGGTAAACCCCGCATTGCTATGGGTTAAGTCTTTAAAGAGATGAATCCTATTCAGTATGGTTGGATTGCCAAAATATGCGATGGCCATAACCCACTTCAAAACGGGAATAGGTTTTTGGGGAGAAGTGGGCCTTCTGCGGGTCTGCTTCCATATCATTAGCGTTGGATCTGTCAGAAACGTCTGGGACAAGAACGTCAGAGAGTGCAACAGCAAGAGGAACAGTGGTTGGCCCGCGTGCTCAGAGGGATACCAACAAACCCTTCGAGGGACGATATGCGGAGGGCTGGCTCAACAAAAGGTACCGAAGGGCCCGCAAATGTGATTGCTTTTGGGGCTGAACCTTCACATTTGGGGGATCGGGGATCAATCTGGTCAATCGTTTTGAGCCATATAGCATATGGTGATTTAAAAGAAAATAGTCATGTCACAGTCATGTCAATATTCTTCGTGTTTAGTTCATGATGAAGCCTTCCACCTGTACCATAGGTTTCTTGGCTTTGGCCATGTTGTCATCCCAAGCCTTGAAGGCTGAGAACTGTATCCATCAAAGTGCGACTGATGCCCAGCCTGATCAGGTGGGGATGTTGGGGGATGTCAACAGAAACGAAGCGACCCCACCGGTTTTCCTCTCGCGAAACCCCACTGGTATACAATCAACACTTGTTGGTCGCTGTGAAGCAGAATTTTGGAGACATACTCTGACATCAAAGTTTTGGGAGATGGGGATTGATAAGTATACAGCCTATGAATGCCTATGACATATTATATTTTGGGAGTACGAACATCCATAAAATCCCGGCTCTTTTGGTGTGAACAGAATTTGAATTGGATTCCGGGGTTGACCTATACTGCCTGATTGCCCCTGAGTGAGAAAGAGCTTGTATCGTGAGGCTTCCATGGTTGAAACAGCATATGGGTGTTTGAAAAAGAGGTATACCCTGGAAATGGTCATTATGTATTTGCGAAGGGGAAAAGATGATCAGGCATGGGAAAATGGGAACGTACCCTATTCTGAGACAAACCCATGTGTTTCTGTTGGCAGAAATGTATTTGAACATATGATAAAGTTATTGTTGATGGCATGATTCCAAGTGAATTGCTGGCAGCCCTCGAAACAAAACTAACAAAGTGTCCAACCGGAATTCCTCGTCTCCAGACCCATTTGTGGGAGTCTATTTTTGACTTATAGTTTTCAGAGGCTAAATTGCTGGTGTATCTGCCCGTGATATCACTACTTTATAAACGTCTATAGATTGATTGGAATTTCCATAGATTATTGATCAATGGAATTTCCATAATATCTACTGCACTCCATCTTTGGTCCAGTCGTCATTTTCACTGAGTTGGTGTTTAACTCGTTCCTGCGCTGGCAGATTTTCTCTCGTTTGTACCGGGAGAGATTTGACCGCGAGAAGCGCATGGAACAGATGAGGGCTGCAAATGCTGGGGCTCTCAGGAACAGGTAGCTGTGATGCTGTGGGTCCAAAATTTGAGGCACCATTTTTTTGTCTGGTTGGTGGTTTGGAACATGTTTTATTTTTCCTTATATTGGGAATAATAATCCCACATGACTAATATTTTTCAGAGGGGTTGAAACCACCAACCAGTTGTGGTTTGTCCTTGACAGAGTCTGCAGGTTCCTGGAAGCATGGGAATGGGTCAAAAAATCAGACCCGACCCCAGATTGAGTGGCTCTTGGAATCAAACCATCAAGCGGGAATGTGTATAAAATTGGGAGTGTCGTCATTCCAAACAAAGTGTTTGAAACTGTGTAAAGATGTGGATTTGATTGGACATGTACGGGAAACTTATCAATTTCCCTTGTACCATCAGCTTCCCTATATCAGAATTGCCCTTTTTTGGCCGTGTGCAAGCCATTTTCAGACACACCGAGACCAAGGCTGCGAGTCGTTCCCAGCAGCTTGCAGAAGGCAAAAACGGGGATTGAGCCAACAAATCGATTCCCACAGAACTCAGGGGGTTACATATCTCCAGTTATCGGGGTAGTTGTAACTCCCATCTATTCTATATTATATATAAAATATATTATATTATATTGGGTAAGGGCGCGTCATTGTACAGCCTTGTTCCATGTAGAGATATTGTAAAATGGAAACACATGATTAGACTGGAATGGTGCGTACCTTTAGGTCATCCGGGCGTAACCAAAGGGTCTTTGGTATCGGATTTGATCAACTTTGAAGTTGCATTCATTTGTTTTCAGACATAAGACAACTTGACATTGACAGGTTATGACTACAGCTTGTGTTGGGGTATGAGTTCCACATCCCGACACATACCACTTTTTAAATGTTTCTTTCAAGCGATTTCCTGACCAAAGTCATGACCGAGAGGCTCGGTGCATGCCAGCTGCAGTGCCTCCGAAGCAGACTTGGTGGAAAGGACGAGGCAGGATATGCAAACTGCATCGATTCAAACATTGGTGGCATCATCTATGCCGATGTGAGGATTCAAAGTACCAAAAAAGTCCGAACATGTGGAAAAACATGAGCCAAGATATGCCGATGTGCTTGATCTTTGAAGCATTAGGGGGATTGAAACTGCAAAGAAGCTGGATCTGTTTCAGCCAAAATGAGGGGTGAGTCAGCCGGAGATGCGGGTGGGGCAATCGATCCCCATAGTTGATTGGTTGGGAAACTTGGGGGGTAACAATCCCAACGTTTGATTTCCTATGCCAGCTGTTGTGTATTTGTCCACACAATGTTCGGAAGCGACAAGATGATGGACGTCAACTTGTCACTTACTTCATTCATTTTTTAGCGATTATCAGTACTTGCCGAAGAATAGTAAATCAAAATAACGACCACATATGACCACTGTAAAGAAGCAAAAGTAGAAGGTTCAAGATTGAATCAACAATGGAAAAGTCCCCATGTATAGATGATGTTCATATGGAGGTTTCCAAAAATATGGGTACCCCCAAATCATCCATTTAAGTAGGATGTTCCACTGTAAACCATCAATTTTGGGGTACCCCATTGATGGAAACAACCATATATTTTCCTGTTTCCTAAAAATCTTCATATGTGTTCCAATGTTTTTCCCTTGATTTGGAACATTAAAACAGGAAAACAGGATTTATATATATGTGTCACCATATATATATATATTTTTATTTATTTATTTCATATATGAACATTGCAACGTGTTTCCCTTGATTTGCCATTAAAACCCTCCATCTTCACTTGGAAAAATCCCAGCCTAGCACAGCGAGCGAAAGGCGTCTCTATGAGGATGGCCTGCAGCGAATGGAACGTTTGGAGGCGTGGTAAGCGGGGTAAGCGCTGAAAAGGTGAGCAAAACCTTTAACGGGCGAATGGTGATATTCATGGTGATTAATGGATATTAATGGTTTAATGGATATTAATGGTTATATTACTGGTGATATTCATGGTGATATTACTGGTGATATTAGTGGTGATTTCATGGTGATTAATGGATATTACTGGTTGGTGGTTTGGAACATGACCGGATTATGACTTTCCATCATATTGGGAATTTCATCATTCCAACTGACGAACTCAGATTTTTCAGAGGGGTAGGTCAACCACCAATCAGATAATTTTCACCATGAAAAATGATGAAAACCTACGGAAAAAAAAACGAACAACTGTGAACAACCTATGGAAAATGGCGATGAAGTGTGATGTTTGGACAAGACAAGTGGGAGAATGCCACCATTCATCCACACGTTGGGGAAGTCTAGACACAAATGTTGGTGAACTGACTTAAACACAATTTGTTTTAGCCCATGATGTGATGTTGCACGTACCCTCATCAAGTTCCAGCTTTGGATTTCAGAGGTTCTAGTTCTCGTTAGCTTGGAGCAGGCTGTCAACAGTGGGAGCAACCCATCCGATATGGTTCATGTAACGAGCGTTGATGCAAGGTATGAGACAGATAAATAGAGATAGGTAGATGAATATATATATATAGATAGATGAAGTCCATGTTCAACTATCCATAATGTATACCCATATAACATGTACTTATATGATCATTACAATCTTATATAGATACTTGATCATAGCATTTAACGGCTACAACCAGCTACCGATCGTGTCTCCGAAGTTTTTGAAACTGGCGCCCGTCGCCGCAACGCTGCCGGATCAAACTGCAGAGCCACTGTGGCTCGGGGCTGAGTCTCGCAGGTGCCTTGGTTGAAGCAAGTGGGCAATGGTAATCAGATGGCTTCAGCATTTACGTCTAAATAGTGTGATTATAAATATGGAATAATACAATCATATACACATGTGGAGACAGATAGTATCTACATTGACATATTCTGACATAAATATATATATATACACATTATACTGGTTGTATGTTATTTTGGTTGAAAATTCAACATGAATACACAAGGAACGGGGGCGAATTGGGATTATAATCATCTAAGATAGGGTTCTGACCAACACCAGGTTGAGAGATAAGTGCAAAGACATGAAGATAGCAACAGCACAATGGGCTTTGCAACCCATGATCGTAGCCATTCTATGCATGAACATGAGTCAGAACTTTGTAGAAAAGGACCAAGACATGCTGGTCCTTTCATGGTTGAGCTGGTTGAGTAAACTTGCAGTATAAAAATGGATATAGCAGTTTCACCAAGCCCAACAAAGAGGGTTCCTGTAAGTGTTCAATTGAATTAATGAGGGGTCCGTTTCTAGCTGAGAAGTACGCAATGACTTGAGCAAGACCCAAATGAGTTTGCCGCCATGCTGACAGATTCTGGATGAAAGGTACTGGCTTCTGTGATAGATTATCAAGGGAAGGTACTGTGTCGACTGTACCTTCAAGACTGTTGAACTTGGTGCAGGTTTTGAGATCAAGATATTCTGTTCACCTTTCTTACTATAATCGATCCATCCAAGGTACTGTCGGGTTGAAGCAGTTCTTTTTTGTGATGTGCCGACCTGCATGTCCAGCCAATGAAACATGTATAAAGATGTAGTGAATCAGCCAATGTCAAGCTTGGGAAAGCCACCCTCCTTTGCGGGTCATCCATCAAAATTCTCCTTCCAGGATTCAGCAACGAGCGTTCGTTCCAATGAAGACGCTGTGTTTCCTTACGCTGGCACTGTCAACCGGCGCCACCCTGCTGAGGACGAGGCGCTGGTAGTTGGTGCCCCAAGTATTCAATTAGCCCTCCGGTAGACACATACGCTTACGGAAAGCTAATGTGTTTTCGTGTTCATTCATGTTCATATAGGGGCTACGAACATGATCTACACTTTTTGTTTTGGCCCTACTGTGTTTGTTTCTGGGGAAGCCTTGGTTGGGTAGTTGTGGGTAGTTATAAGACTTGAATCTTTTGCGTATTATACATTATTATAATATATATATATACATATATATATATACAGCATATTATATTTATATATATATCCTATATATATATATTATGTATGTATATATGTTTTTTTGTCACAACCGACTAAGTAACTAGCTAAGTTGAGATCTTCATACAGAACCACGTGATCCACGGCTCACAGGCAGAGACATCCCTGGTTCGCCGCGAAAGCTGGTCGAAGCCTCGGATTATTCATCAAATGGGGTATATTAGGTGGTTTTTCCATTAATGTTTCCATTAATGGGGGTAGCCCCAAAATGGTTTCGGGGGTACGCCTAAATGGATGGTTTATAATGGAAAATCTATATATCTGAGTAAATTATAACGGCCTCACTGCGACCTCACTGGAAATCATAGTTAGTAAGGGAAATTATCCCCAAATGGCCTTAATTCATGTTAGTGAAATATTTTAATTTACCCATATATATATATTCGTGTAATCTATTATATACATAGCAATTCCAAGAAATAAGATAGAGTTTGTGTGAAATCCTACTTTAACATGTTCTATCTTTTTTGGCAGCTACCATATATATATACATAGAGTCACATCAACTTTCTCAAGGGATGGTGTATATACCCCCCAATTTGCTGGAAAATAAAAATCGTAAACCTGACCTGGCGGTACTTCAATTAGATATTAGATAACATTCTGGAAAATGTTTCTATCTTCTTTGGGTTGCTATAGTGCTATACATGAATAATCATATGACTATGGGAATAAGAATGGAATAATCCAGTTAAAGCTTGAACATGAATAAAATATAGTAGGAATTGTCCGTAGGTTTCCCGTGATTCAATGGTCATAATTTGGGCCATGACCATATCAAGAAAATGCATCGGAGATATACAAAGAATCTTAAAGAGTACAAATCAGGGCACTGAACCGAATTTGAGGCTTCCAACTTGGATGATTCGAAAGAGGTACCACATTTAGCTGATATTGCGACGTCTTTAAAGGGAATCTTCTTTCCATGCCAGGTGAAGCAAGAAATTTGTGTTGTTTCAAACCCATTTTGGAGCAGTAAAGATACACTTTCACATGCCATGGTCGTCACAGGCATTTTATGGATGATTCCCAGGTCAGCAGGCTGACGCAGATAGCGACTGCCATCCCAAGTGTGTGCGGCATCTCAATTGGGCTTATCATTGTTGCTATCAATGGGACAACTGGTGATGAGAATGGGAATAGATTATCTACATTAAGAACCATGTTCTTTTCATTGGGCTTAAGAGTAGCCGTGTCTGGATTCTGGTTTACTCCTGACTGTTCGACTGTTCGACCCTCAAACAAAGCCCTGGTGGTAGGAAGTTGGGTCAAACTCAAGACCACTGGCCCCGCTGATTTTAGTAGGGTTTCTGTGGAGACATGTTTGGTCGTACTGATTTGGACACGTACATCCTACTTTGTAACAAATGTATATAGAAAGTCTTTGTACTTAGTATGTATCATATCTATGTACACACGGCATGAGTTGCTCAGCCATGCTCAGCCCTTGTGTTGAACTGCAGGCAGCCACGAGTTGTTGCTAGTTTATTTGCGTATTTACCATATTTTTTTCGGTGAAGTTCCTTCCTGGGACCTTGGACAATGGATCAACATATCTCTTACCAAAGGTAATGCAATGCCACCTGGTTCGGGTGTATGTCACTTTGTTTTTTGAGTTTGAAATTATGTTGCCCTAATGCAAGCAATATTTGCGCGTCCTTTCAACAAAAGGAGTGTCCCAGCCCCTTCGGCCGGATGTCAGGCGTGGGATTGTGGTGAACCTGAGTGTAGCAAGTCTTGTAAGGCTGCCAGGGGCCTCAGTGTTTTTTCATGTTTTTTCACTTCACAGGGCAAGACACTGCCTGGACCACAAGCGAGTGTCGCTGACACTGCGTTGTAGTTGTGGCAGATGCGGTGTACTGAACACAGTTCCTCATTTTTCCCCTGCCAAGATCCCATTTTGTTTGGGAGGTACCATTGTTCCCGAGAGCGTCTGAGCGCAGGGTTCTTCCAATAGTGGGGGTCTGTATCTCATCTTCTCATCTTCACACCTTCTCTCACACCTTCTCATCTTCACATCTTCTCATCTTCACACCTTCTCATCTTCACATCTGCTCATCTTCACATCTGCTCATCTTCACATCTTCTCATCTTCACACCTTATCATCTTCACATCTTCTCATCTTCACACCTTCTCATCTTCACATCTGCTCATCTTGACATTTTCTCATCTTCACACCTTCTCATCTTCACATCTTCTCATCTTCACATCTGCTCATCTTCACATCTGCTCATCTTCACGTCTTCTTATCTTCACATCTTCTCATCTTCACATCTGCTTATCTTCACATCTTCACATACTCTCATCTTCTCTTTCTCTCTCTCTCTCTCTCTCGCACTCACATCTTCACATACTCACATCTTCTCTCTCTCTCTCTCTCTCTCTCGCTCTCCCTCTCCTTTCTCTCTCCTTTCCCTGTCTCCTTTCTCTCTCCCTTTTCTCTCTCTCGCCTTCTTTATCTTTCTCTCTTTAGGCCGAGGGTGGTGCCGGCGGGGAGTCACGAAACGTGAACCCTTTCGCACGAAATGACGTTCGATCGGCAAAAACTGCGGTAAAATTGCGATTTTACGTGTCCCGGAGCAACCCTTTCGCACGAAATGAGTGTCGATCGGCGAAAACTGCAGTAAAATTGCGATTGTACTTGTCCCGGAGCAACCCTTTCGCACTAAATGATGGTCGATCGGCAAAAACTAAGTTAAAATTGCGATTTTGCGTGCCCCGGAGCAACCCTTTCGCACGAAATGAGGTTCGATCGTCAAATATTGAAGTAAAATTGCGATTTTCCGCGGAGCAACCTTTTCGCACGAAATGAGGGTCGATCGTCAAAAACTGAAGTAAAATTGCGATTTTACGTGTCCCGGAGCAACCCTTTCGCACGAAATGACGGTCGATCGGCAAAAACTGCGGTAAAATTGCGATTTTACGTGTCCCGGAGCAACCCTTTCGCACGAAATGAGTGTCGATCGGCGAAAACTGCAGTAAAATTCCGATTTTCCTTGTCCCGGAGCAACCCTTTCGCACGAAATGAGTGTCGATCGTCAAAAACTGAGGTAAAAATTCCGATTTGACTTGTCCCGGGGCATCTGTGTAAAAGTGTTTGTGTGTAAAAGCTTCTGTGTGTAAAAGTGTTTGTGTGTAAATGGGTTTGTGTGTACGAGTGTTTCTGTGTAAAGATGTTTGTGTGTAAAAGTGTTTGTGTGTAAAAGTGCATCTGTGTAAAAGTGTTTGTGTGTAAAACCTTCTGTGTGTAAAAGTTTTTGTGTGTAATCGGGTTTGTGTGTACGAGTGTTTCTGTGTAAAGATGTTTGTGTGTAAAAGTGTTTGGGTGTAAAATTGCATCTGTGTAAAAGTGTTTGTGTGTAAAACCTTCTGTGTGTAAAAGTGTTTGTGTGTAAACGGGTTTGTGTGCAGGAGTGTTTCGGTGTAAAGACGTTTGTGTGTAAAAGTGTTTGTGTGTAAGAGTGCATCTGTGTAAAAGTGTCTGTGTGTAAAAGCTTCTGTGTGTAAAAGTGTTTCTGTGTAAACGGGTTTGTGTGTAAGAGTGTTTCTGTGTGAAGATGTTTGTGTGTAAAAGTGTTTGTGTGTAAAAGTGCATCTGTGTAAAAGTGTCTGTGTGTAAAAGCTTCTGTGTGTAAAAGTCTTTGTGTGTAAACGGGTTTGTGTGTAAGAGTGTTTCTGCGTAAAGATGTTTGTGTGTAAAAGTGTTTGTGTGTAAAAGTGAATCTGTGTAAAAGTGTCTGTGTGTAAAAGCTTTTGTGTGTAAAAGTGTCTGTGTGTAAAAGGGTTTGTGTGTTAAAGCGTCTCTGTGTAAAATGGTGTGAGTGCAGAAGGGTTTCTGTGTAAAAGGTGTTTCTGTGTGACAGCGGCAACGTGTGTGTAGCAAAAAGCGTTTCGCATCCAATACAGCGCATGGATATGTGTAGCCATTGGTTGATTCCAGTCCATACAGCTTCTAGATTTCCACCTGATGATGCTGAGACGATGGATTATATAGATGACATAAATGCCACATTGCGATATTCACCATGTGTCCATACGTCAAGTCCTATGCAGTGCTCACCAGTGACAGCGACCCAACCATGTTTTTACTATATATGCATATGCTATTTTATGCTTATAGATTCTAGATATTTTTTTGAATATAGTTTGTTGCCCATGTCCGAGAGCCAGACCTAGAGGTGATGACTGCAGTTACCCGCGAATTCGAAACCAAAGATGCCGAGAAGACAGCAGTTCAGAAGACCATTGACGGCATCATGGGCCGCAACATGTTCCCATCCCAGTGTCTCAGTGACAAAGTCCTGACTATGAACATCGACAAGAGCCTTCAAGAGGCGTTCAAAAAATACTTGAACCCGACCGGACCGGAGGAAAAATCTGGTGACTAGGACAGAGAACAGAGACCAAACCTGCAGACCAGGAAAAAATGTGGACAACTTGTGTGGGCTAGCGGCAGCTAACTGGTAAAACCAAAATAAGAAATGAATCAATGAAAACATAAAATATTGGCACACGGCACACTAATTATCACTAATTGAGTTTATCTTACATATCTTATTGGGGCCTCTTGCCGTGGCAGCCTACTACTGTCAGCGTGGCAGGATGCAATTTTTAGTGTGGCAGTTTGCATGCTGAGGGGTGTGTTGTTGTGGCAGTTACAGTATATATCTACTTTTTGCTGTGGCAGTATCCACTTTATTTTGAAGTGGCAGCTGACACCTTTGGCCGTGGCAGTATTTACTTTTTGTTGTGGCAGCATCTACTTTTTGTTGTGGCAGCTGACGCCTTTGGCCGTGGCAGTATCCACTTTTTGTTGTGGCAGTATCCACTTTTTGTTGTGGAAACTGACACCTTTGGCAGTGGCAGTATCCACTTTTTGTTGTGGCAGTATCCACTTTTTGTTGTGGCAGCTCACACCTTTGGCCGTGGCAGTGTCCACTTTTTTCTGTGGCAGTTCAAGTGTCTTGGACCAAGTGGTGCGTGGCAGGTGCCACTTTTGGGGGTATATTCAAGCCATATCCCCTGACAATTTCTCAACAGAGGATCATGCTAGAGCAAACAGCTAAATGTATGAGTGATGATGTGATTCTTGTCTGCATCTGTTGGAGTCAGGAGAAATGGTAGAAGTTCACTAACACGGGTCTTTGCTGCGGAAGCATGGACAGTTGCATTACTGGAAGGCATCAGTACCACTTCGTGTTGGTGGCAGCTCAGGCCCCTGGAGAACAATTTGTGAGCAGCTTGTACTATATTGAATGATTTTCAACTTAGCTACTTGTATTGCAACCAGAGCTGTATGAGTAATACTTCTATAGCCTGTACTATATTGAATGCATGTCCACCAAATACATGGTACAAACTTCACCCCTCCGTCGAATTGCTGAGGTGGCCACGACAACGATGACTTCACTGTGACTGCGGGAACATGGGCCGGCCTGTGTGTAAAAGCGTCTGTATGTAAAAGTGATTGTGTGTAAAAGCGCCTTGTGTGTAAAACCGTTTGTGTGTAAAAGCGTTTGTGTGTCAAAGCTTCTGTGTGTAAAAGCGTCTGCGTGTAAAAGCTTTTGCGTGTAAAAGCGTCTATGTGTAAAAGTGTTTGTGTGTAAAAGTGTTTGTATGTAAAAGCGTTTGTGTGTAAAAGTGCCTGTGTGTCAAAGCGCCTATGTGTAAAAGCTTCTGTGTGACTGTGTGTAAAAGTTTTTGTGTGTAAAAGCGTCTGCGTGTAAATGCTTCTGTGTGTAAAAGCTCCTGTGTGTAAAAGGCTCTTTGTTAAAAGTGTCTGTGTGTAAAAGTGTCTGTGTGTGAAAGTGTCTGTGTGTAAAAGCATCTGTGTAAAAGCGTATGTGTGTAAAATCTTCTGTATGTAAAAGCTTCTGTGGGTAAAAGCTTTGTGTGTAAAAGTGTCTGTGTAAAAGCGTCTGTGTGTAAAAGCTTCTGTGCGTAAAAGCTTTTGCGTGTACAAGCGTCTGTGCGTAAAAGGGTCTGTGTGTGAAAGTGTCTGTCTGTAAAAGCTTCTGTGTGTGAAAGCTTTTGTGTGTAAAAGCTTCTGTGTGTAAAAACTTCTGTGTGTAAAAGTGTTTGCGATGCAAACTATTGTATTGCACTTCTGCTATTTTGTCTTAATACTCCTCTTCTCGACTGCCTATAACACATCTTTAATATATATTGCCGGACTTAGAATGCGCATTTGGAAGCATCACTCCACACGTGCAAAACTGAAAAATTGCATTTTACCAGCATTTCGGAACTTAGAATGCGTCCCCCCACCTAGGATGAAGCTATTCGGCAATCAACAGTTAGAATGCCTCCAAGGGCATATGTTTTGTTCCAGGCAGAAACGCATATATATATCCTAGACCCTCCAAGTCACCATAAAAAAGGTAGTTTACCACATAATTTTCATATTTTTAGCAATTTGTCAGGGTATTTGGAGGCTCTGGGTATATGAATGTACCTGTTTGAGAACATCACATTTTTTTTTGCGCACTTTGCAGGTCTGGGTAAAGATTACATGAACATTTTTCATTGAACCAACAGGCAGCCCAAAGGCACTTTTACTCGCTTTCCCCATTTGATAACCTTGACAAAAGTGAGCTTCGGGTACAAAAAAAATTGCGATTTTGGACACGTACCTGAGGTAGATAGGCTTCTGGGAAAAGAGGACACACCCAGCCACTAATGGTGTTGAACAGACAGTGAGAATGTGGCTTTAGTAAAGGATCCCCATCATTGATAAATACCTTTGTTTTATCTCCTAGATGGGCCGCTAGCTGGAATGCCTGTAACTGTCACTGATTGGAAAAGATGTTTTTTTTTAAACGGCAAAACTGGAAAATTGCATTTTACCAGCATTTCAGATCTTTGAATGCCTCCCCCCCACCTAGGATGAAACTATTCGGCAATCAGCAGTTAGAATGCCTCCAAGGGCCTTTTTTGTTCCAGGCAGAAACGCATATATATCCTAGACCCTCCAAGTCACCATAAAAAAAAGTAGTTTACCATATAATTTTCATATTTTTAGCAATTTGTCAGGGTATTTGGAGGCTCTGGGTATATGAATGTACCTGTTTGAGAATATCACATTGTTTTTTGTGCACTTTGCAGGTCTGGGTACTTTTACTCGCTTTCGATAACCTTGGCAAAAGTGAGTTTCGGGTACAAAAATTGCGATTTTGGACACATACCTGAGGTAGATAGGCTTCTGGGAAAAGAGGACACACCCAGCCACTAATGGTGTTGAACAGACAGTAAGAATGTGGCTTTAGTAAAGGATCCCCATCATTGATAAATACCTTTGTTTTATCTCCTAGATGGGCCGCTAGCTGGAATGCCTGTAACTGTCACTGATTGGAAAAGATGTTTTTTTTTTTAAACCGCAAAACTGGAAAATTGCATTTTACCAGCATTTCAGAACTTTGAATGCCTCCCCCCCACCTAGGATGAAGCTATTCGGCAATCAACAGCTAGAATGCCTCCAAGGGCCTTTTTTTCCCAGGCAGAAACGCATATATATCCTAGACCCTCCAAGTCACCATAAAAAAGGTAGTTTACCATATAATTTTCATAGTTTTAGCAATTTTTCAGGGTATTTGGAGGTTCTGGGTATATGAATGTACCTGTTTGAGAATTTCACATTATTTTTTGTGCACTTTGCAGGTCTGGGTACTTTTACTTGACAAAAGTGAGTTTCGGGTACAAAAATTGCGATTTTGGACACATACCTGAGGTAGATAGGCTTCTGGGAAAAGAGGACACACCCAGCCACTAATGGTGTTGAACAGACAGTGAGAATGTGGCTTTAGTAAAGGATCCCCATCATTGATAAATACCTTTGTTTTATCTCCTAGATGGGCCGCTAGCTGGAATGCCTGTAACTGTCACTGATTGGAAAAGATGTTTTTTTTTTTTTACGGCAAAACTGGAAAATTGCATTTTACCAGCATTTCAGAACTTTGAATGCCTCCCCCCCACCTAGGATGAAGCTATTCGGCAATCAACAGCTAGAATGCCTCCAAGGGCCTTTTTTTTTCCAGGCAGAAACGCATATATATCCTAGACCCTCCAAGTCACCATAAAAAAGGTAGTTTACCATATAATTTTCATAGTTTTAGCAATTTTTCAGGGTATTTGGAGGTTCTGGGTATATGAATGTACCTGTTTGAGAATATCACATTTTTTTTTGTGCACTTTGCAGGTCTGGGTAAAGATTCTATGAAAAGTTTCAATGAACCAACAGGCAGCCCAAAAACACTTTTACTCGCTTTCCCCATTCGATAACCTTGACAAAAGTGAGTTTCGGGTACAAAAACTGCGATTTTGGACACATACCTGAGGTAGATAGGCTTCTGGGAAAAGAGGACACACCCTGGGGTACAATTGTCTGCACGACCAAGTATGTATATATATATATATTCTCAAACAGGTACATTCATATACCCAGAACCTCCAAATACCCTGAAAAATTGCTAAAACTATGAAAATTATGTGGTAAACTACCTTTTTTATGGTGACTTGGAGGGTCTAGGATATATATGCGTTTCTGCCTGGAAAAAAAAGGCCCTTGGAGGCATTCTAGCTGTTGATTGCCGAATAGCTTCATCCTAGGTGGGGGGGAGGCATTCAAAGTTCTGAAATGCTGGTAAAATGCAATTTTCCAGTTTTGCCGTTAAAAAAAAAAAAACATCTTTTCCAATCAGTGACAGTTACAGGCATTCCGGCTAGCGGCCCATCTAGGAGATAAAACAAAGGTATTTATCAATGATGGGGATCCTTTACTAAAGCCACATTCTGACTGTCTGTTCAACACCATTATTGGCTGGGTGTGTCCTCTTTTCCCAGAAGCCTATCTACCTCAGGTATGTGTCCAAAATCGCAATTTTTGTACCCGAAACTCACTTTTGTCAAGGTTATCGAATGGGGAAAGCGCGTAAAAGTACCCAGACCTGCAAAGTGCACAAAAAATAATGATAATGTGATATTCTCAAACAGGTACATTCTTATACCCAGAACCTCCAAATACCCTGAAAAATTGCTAAAACTATGAAAATTATGTGGTGAACTACTTTTTTTATGGTGACTTGAAGGGTCTAGGATATATATGTGCTTCTGCCTGAAAAAAAATACCCTTGGAATCCAATGGAGGCATTCTAACTGTTGATTGCCGAATAGCTTCATCCTAGGTGGGGGGGAGGCATTCAAAGATCTGAAATGCTGGTAAAATGCAATTTTCCAGTTTTGCCGTTTAAAAAAAACATATGAGCCACGTTCAAAACTGCCGGCAATTGATTTTAGTATTCGGTGGAATTTATTCTTTGAAAAATTGAATGGCGTCACACGCGCGCAAGCTTTTCACAAGCTTCGCGCAAGCTCATGTACGTGCAAGCTTCGCGCAAGCCCGAAATCACGTAGATAATTGAAACATAAATATGACTATGCAACGAAAAGGGTTACACAACATACTGGGACGAGACGAGATGGGTGACGAGTTCCGTTGTGCATTGTTTGCTTGGTATGTCGGCCCTCTGGCTTGCAAAGGTATAGTCAGTTTAAGCAAACAAGGTTCTGAATGGATGCCATGGATCTTGAATGGTAATAGGCCATGGAGTTAATTGTTGCGTGTAATTTTGACCCTTGAAGATTTCAAACACCCTGAATTTTGCGCAAGGTTCGCGCAAGCTTCGCGCAAGCAAAGGGGTTCCTGGCCACTATGCCCCACAGAAACCGGTAGCAAGATGATCGTAGACTCACCATATGGGCTACATTTTCCTACTATGCTCTTTCTGAGCGGGACAATAAGCAAAACCACTGCACGGACTGGGAGCCATGCCGCTGTACTGATTGTACTCTGGCTCAAGGCCATACACTCACTGGAGGCATTCAGGGACTACACTGCTGGCAAAATAGGACCTGCGTTGATTGGAGCCTAGAAGTCGAGAAGCCACCGGAAGTCGAGAAGCCACCGGACAAGCCAAGAAGTCGAGAAGCTGAGAAACCACCGAACGAGCCGAGAATCTGAGAAGCCAAGCAACCCAAGTCCGAAATCAGCTTCGTGCCTGCATCGCGCAAGCAAAAATGCACCAAATCTCAGGAATTTATCTTCGCGCAAGGTCGCGCAAGCTCAGTTTGAAAAATTGACCGCGCGCAAGCTCCCATTGTGGTCGCGCAAGGATTTCGCGCAAGGATGAATAATTTCCATTCAGTTTTAATTGAAGTTTTGAACACCGCTCATATAAACATCTTTTCCAATCAGTGACAGTTACAGGCATTCCGGCTAGCGGCCCATCTAGGAGATAAAACAAAGGTATTTATCAATGATGGGGATCCTTTACTAAAGCCACATTCTGACTGTCTGTTCAACACCATTAGTGGCTGCACAACCCATGCGTTCCCTCAGCGTTCCCTGGTGTTTTTCTGGAAACATACATACTTGGTATGTATATAGAAAGTTCTTTTGAAAACATGATGCAAACCCACCCATCCATGCTAGAATATGTTAGTGCCGGACCATGTACCTTGCACCCAATGAGGTTCCCTGAGGCCATGTTTTTTTTGACACATATCTATATATTTATCTTTTTAAATATATGTATATACAGTATATATACACACACCGACGGACTGAAACTTCGAATGCTACGCTCCTTTCCTGAGTAGTTTACAGACAGTTAGAATGCTCCATGATGCCCCATCCGTCATTTCAGTATATCTTTATCTATCTCAATCTAAACACTTTGGGTCAGCATTCTAACTGTCTGGTCGCCGTCCGGGGCTGCGCCGCATTCTAAGTTTACGAAAAAGGGAAATTTGGAAAAATGGGCCGCATTCTAAGTTTCAGTCCGTCAATATATTGTTTCTAATATGGTGTCTCCATACTAACAAGAGAAGACCCTGCTCCTCTACGCTCTCGGGCCATCCGTCGTCTAGTTTTTGCCACGGAAAAAAGTGATCTGAAATCATCCCAAATGATAAAAGATAGGGATCCTCATCGACCAACCCTTAAAAGCTTGTTGCAACAAAAACTACTCTTGATGATATTGTTTGCAACCAGGTGGGTTCTGCAGGAAATGCCTCGCTTGTGCCCGTGGATTTGTCTCGCTTGTGCCCAGGTAGCTGCATGCCTTCCCCCTGGTCCCAAGCCCCTCCCTAATCCCCCCGTGTTCTCCAATTCTCCCCCTATGTCCCCTAAAAGTAGACCCTAAATGGGTGTTTTCTACTTGAAGGAATGTTGCCTGTGTGCATGATGCTGCTGCATGCCCCCATGTCCCTCCCTAATCCCCCTGGTCCCCAAGTCCCCCCCGTGTCCCTTAAAAGTAGACCCGGTTCTGCGACATTTCTATGTACAATTATATATATATATATACATATATACATATAATGACTTGGCAAGGTGCATACGCCTACATTCCATTTACAGTATACTACTTATATGGTTTTTATATACGAACATTCGCCCTGTATCAGCTGCAATTGTTGGTAAATATAGAGCATTTGGATTTAGCACGTTTGATTACAGATTTTCAGAGAACTGACTGAAGGGACAATTTACAGCTTTCACCCCGACACATGGAGGTAATTTCACCATAGGTTTTCTGCACATTTTCCAAAAAAAATATTTGATAAATATTTGATTGGTTTTGACCCAGTCTTGTTTAGATGTAAGGTGTGTCAGCCGCCAAAGTGCTTCACTGCATGCAACAAGCCACAAGAGCAGGCGGCCTGGGAATCTCGAGGGATGGTCATGTCCGACCAAACTCCGTAAATGATGCCGTAAATCAAGAATGGCATTTAATCTAGTTGTGAAAAAAATGCTGGACTATCCATATTGACATGTTATCATTTATATAGATATAATATAGATATATAGATAAATATATAGATATAATATATCATTTATATAGATATAGATATGTCGGATGTATGCTGAATCTCATATCTTGACAGTGGTAAGGGTAGATCAGTTGTCCACTGGCCTCGGGAATATGCCAGGACTGCCGACACGTTTGCAAGGCAAGGTTTGGGGCGCTGCGGCGCTGCGTGGCACTTGACCGTTGGAATTGGCATGAGTCAAGGTAGTAGTTGTATGTATTATATATGTATTATATACTGATTGGTGGTTCGACATAGGTTTCATTTCAAAAACCTTATTGGGATGATCATAAATGTATGTATATAATTCTATGGAGGAAATGAAGAAATGTAGGTTTGCAACAAATGAGAGCACCCTTGTCAGCCAAACAATTTCAATATCAAGTATCCACTAGAGGCCACTAGTGTCACCAATTCCACAGGTACCGCCCTCCATGTTCTGCGTCCCATAGACTTCCTCAAATATATAGAGACCTTCCACAAGAAAAAGACACCGATTTCAAAATTTGAAAGGAAGAGAGGTCGGATTAACTCCCAACTTTGTAACAGTGGATATAGACATAGAGTTAGTGGAGCTTGTTGTTGGGGGCACAACACATTATGTTTCCAGATTCTGCATTGCCTACTAGGGTTCCGAGTTGTGAGTTGGCTAAGTCTGATTTACAGTACAGTATATACAAGTTCGCTGAGGTTGATGATGGGTATATGATGTATGCATAAGTCAGTACATGTCATTACACATACACATATATATATATATATTATCAATATATAGAATGATTGGTTAGATAGCGTTATACACACACTAATCGTGCCCCCCCTTTCTATCATGGTGGCGGGTATCGTGTGGGCGGCCAGCCGCAACGCTTCGACGCCAGGATCCGAAATGCGCAGTGGTGTGCCCAGCGCAGAACTGTGAATCGGAGCATTGTCAGAAGCCCAGTGCAGCACAGGATCCCATGTGTTGATTCGTTGATCTACAAGGTGGTGCCCCCAAGATAGCTAAGTTGGTTTATAACTCTAAAAACTAGGACTTATGGTAGATATATCGAACTAGTTAATGCGATTATAAACCAGCTTATAACTTGGGGGGCACCACCTTGTACTATTTACTTGAAGGGCTTATCAACTTATATCAACTTATCAAGCAACAGACGCTAGTAGATGGGCCTTACCCATCTACTATGTTGGGGTATAGCCGCAATTGAAAGGGTTGCCTGTCTTCACGGTCACTTGAAAGCGAGGTCCCCCGCCGGACTGCGAAACCGTCTGTGGAGAGCCGGTGTGTCATTTAGAATGCGGTCAGAGCCACGGGGTCAGGGGACCTAAGGGGTACCTGACAAGGACCTCAGGACGGCATATGTAGTTGAGAACTGGCCTAAATGAAGGATGGTATGAGCCCCTTTCGACAAAAGATAATCATGCAATATCATGGATAATCTATGATAATCTGAATTTTGGGACTCAGAAACCAGGCTTAGTGGGACTGGTAAAATCTGTTCCGAAATTGTATTTGTTGGTTGATTTGCGCTTTATCCCAGTAGCATTTTCCAGGATTTGGCCTGTCATTGGGGGAGATTCCATTGCCAGGTCTTTGGGGAGGATATATCCATGGGATTTCTCCCATTTCAGGAACGCGAAGTTGGTGAACATAACTCCAATAGCTATGGTTTATAGGTGATATATAGGTGATATATATATACATAGTTAGTGGATGTTTTATAGATGTTTATAGGCATTCATAGGTGATATATCGAACTAGTTTTCATGGGCTTGTAACCAATTTATAACTGGGGGGTCACCACCTTGCAGTATATGTAAAGAATCCCTCCTGATTCCTGGATTCCTGGACGGATGAGAATCCCCCATAGAACCCTGCACTGACTGACTATGGAACATACCCTCCAGTGATCAAACATGTTTTTTTGGAAATTCTCGCATTTGTATTTCCCACTACAGCCTCCATTGATATGGGATTTCTCAGCTACCCACGTTTGATGGGCGAAGGGCACAGATGTATACAGTACATATTCGTATCAAATCATTTCAAATCTTGATATTCAGTAAATATTCATATCAAATCTGCATATGTTCTATTATTTTCGCATTCCCACGCACTTCGCCTTACAGATTCCCTGGGATTCCCGACTCTTTCGTTTTTCAGGTGCGAGACCACTTGTGATGATCCTGTGTGCACCTTCGATTGCCCCTTGGCCACCATGGCTGCGAGTAGAGTGATATGACGTGATATCCAAAACTGAGGGGTGAAAATTGCGTCAAATTGCAGTGAGGTGGTTGATGTTGAAAGGGAAACTGTTGTAGGAAACCCCTGAAACGTAAAACACGGTAGTTTCTTGAAGATGTTCCCTTAAATGGAACGAGGAAAAGTACCTGAAGGCTCGCCTTGTCAATTTCGGGGAGGAAACCCATGGATGACCTTCCCATTTGCAACATCCACTCTGGCTAAATGATGAATATAGACTAGACATATTTAATATACATATGTAGTACAGCATAGTATAACCATACATGTATACATATATATATATATATAGTATGTATAATCAGTCTGGTTCAAACATGTTTTTTGTTTAACCACAAGGGCATTCTTGGTGAAATCGCCAGACCAAAACGCGGGCCGTGGCCGTGGCCGCCGTGGCCGCCGCGGCCGTGGCCTGCCTGTTCCAGGCAAGATCGATGCCAAAGCCTGCGCCAAACCGGAGTGCAAATTAAGTTGCCGCTTTCTCAGGTGCTGACTGAAAGTGCCATGGTTGGATATTTACTTGGATGATATACTCATCTGGGGGAGGGTCATCAATCCATTGTGATAAGGAACTGTATATATATATATATATATATATATATATCGTATGCCCATGATGCTTGGATTTTGAGTATGGGAAGTGTTGGACATTGCCGGCATGAGATGGCAATCCATGTCTCTGCCCACTACACGGACTCCGTATCCTTTTTGGTCTCTTCACAACTGCATAGTGTCCTTGCCTCACATTTGTTCATCACGTTCGTGAGTTGTGTAAAACAATATCTCACTAATTTCTGGGTAGACCTTTGTGAGGGTTAGTGAATGGCTTCACTTTTGGCAGTTTTTAGTACTTTCAATTATATGGAGTTACATGATTTGTGATGCCCGGCCATGAAGCAACTAAAACTTCAAACCTATCCCAGATACATACCACAAAAAAGTATCACATAGTATCTCACTATGATATCCCACCATAGTAACCACGTATAACCATAGAATCCCACAAGGGCTATGACTCTGGACTCTGGGCCCCAAAGAACATCCTCCCAGGTCCTAAGCCTCCACCGCGGGGTTTCCCAGAGAACAAGGACAACAAGAAATGCAGATTGAACAGATTGAAGTAACAATGGTGACTTAACCACAAATAGATCCGGGGGGGTTTACCAGCAAAAATGGGGGAGGTACTAAATGACAACAATGGGCATCGGTATAAAGAGAGAGAAGAGAGAGAAAAAGAGAGAGAGAGAGAGAGAGCGAGCCGCTGATATGGGAAAAAAAACGTACACATGGGGAAAGGCATCACGCGGCTATGACTTAAAACGAGCGGCCGTGACTTAAACCATTTGCAGCGTATACGCTGAAACAGGACCCCGGCAATGACTTCAGACGAGATGCCATGACTTAACCCTGCCACTTGTACCATCGGTTTCAATGGCAAATGCAGCTCAATGTCGATCAGGACCATACATCCCGGGTTTCTCTCAACCTCAAATCCCCCTTCACCAGGATTTCATGAGGTTCTGAATCAATCGCTTCGATGTTAAATCACCTGTTTGCCACAAAGGGGATCTGCCACAGTCCATAGACCCATCCACTTCGGTCACTTCGGAAGGGTGTCAGTAGTCAGTCCATGGCATGAAACTCTACCAGATAGGGTCAGATAGGGAGTGCTGGCAGCTTCTGAACGACACTGCATGAGTTTCACAGGATGGTTGCATTGAAACTGATGGAAACAATGAAGGAAACACCTGAATTTAAATTGATCAACTAGTATGCAGTTGCAATTTGACAGTGCTGCAAGTTCTAGAACATTCACCCCATGCGAACCAGCCATGATGGCAATGGAATATGACCCAAATGATTTGCTTACGAGCAGGGATTTCCACTGAATCACCGAGCGGTATTTGAAATTCCTCTCTTTTAAAGCCCAGCAGGCACTGCCAGAACAAAACTTACATAGGCGCGACTGGGAAGGGTGGCCCTTTGAAGATTTTACCACCGTTCTGACCCAAGCTGTTACGAACTCTAGGTGGGATGCCTGGTATCCCAGATGTGGACATATTTCACTGCATGAACTCAAGTGATCCAAAGAGGTTTCATGATTTGGACATATAGCCAGGAATGTCAGCGATGGAGCCAACGTCTTCATAAAACAGATAAGGTAATGGGTTCTTCATGGTTGTTCTCTCATGTTTGATCCACATGCATTCCCCTTTCCGAAGGATAGATACGTCGCTTCTCATTAGCCACAATTGCTACTTCACGTGACAAAGACCTCATACATCTTGTTTAGTACAATCACTTTCTCTGATGCCATATAATTACAATAAATTATATATAGTGAATGTGATTATCGCCTTTGTCATTGTCTCACTTCAATCTTCACACATGTTATGCACGACACTTTTTGAGCCAAAGCTTTCAGAAGTGCAGCTGACCTAGACCGGAGTCCATTTGGCTAAAATGGATTAAGGCGACTTGTGAATTGTTTGCTAATTTCTTAATGTTCGGATATGTTGGAAGAATAGCTTATCATATTCCAAACTGAACTACAACTTATTATTTATCAGCTCACATCTTTTTTTCTGTGTACCTATTCCTGGCCATATGGAGGTTTCCAAAATGGGGGATCCCCATAAAATGGATGGTTTATGGTGGAAAAATCTTATTAAAACGAATGATTTTGCCACTCCCATAAAGATTTAAAATCCTATCAAAATGGTTTATGGATGGTTTATGGTGGAAAATTCCTATTAAAACGAATGATTTTGCCACTCCCATAAAAAGATTTAAAATCCTATCAAAATGGTTTATGGATGGTTTATGGTGGAAAATTCCTATTAAAACGAATGATTTTGCCACCCCGATAAAGATTTAAAATCCTATCAACATGGTTTATGGATGGTTTATGGTGGAAAATAGGAATTAAAACGAATGATTTTGCCACTCCCATAAAGATTTAAAATCCTATCAAAATGGTTTATGGATGGTTTATGGTGGAAAATTCCTATTAAAACGAATGATTTTGCCACTCCCATAAAGATTTAAAATCCTATCAAAATGGTTTATGGATGGTTTATGGTGGAAAATTCCTATTAAAACGAATGATTTTGCCACTCCCATAAAGATTTAAAATCCTATCAAAATGGTTTATGGATGGTTTATGGTGGAAAAATCCTATTAAAACGAATGATTTTGCCACTCCCATAAAGATTTAAAATCCTATCGAAATGGTTTATGGATGGTTTATGGTGGAAAATTCCTATTAAAACGAATGATTTTGCCACCCCATAAAGATTTAAAATCCTATCAAATGGTTTATGGATGGTTTATGGTGGAAAATTTAAAACGAATGATTTTGCCACCCCATAAAGATTTAAAATCCGATCAAAATGGTTTATGGATGGTTTATGGTGGAAAATTCCTATTAAAACGAATGATTTTGCCACTCCCATAAAGATTTAAAATCCGATCAAAATGGTTTATGGATGGTTTATGGTGGAAAAATCCTATTAAAACGAATGATTTTGCCACTCCCATAAAGATTTAAAATCCTATCGAAATGGTTTATGGATGGTTTATGGTGGAAAATTCCTATTAAAACGAATGATTTTGCCACTCCCATAAAGATTTAAAATCCTATCAAAATGGTTTATGGATGGTTTATGGTGGAAAATTCCTATTAAAACGAATGATTTTGCCACTCCCATAAAGATTTAAAATCCTATCAAAATGGTTTATGGATGGTTTATGGTGGAAAATTCCTATTATTAAAAACGGACGGATTTTGGCCCTCCCCATAAAGATTAAAACCTATCACCATGAGTTTATGATGGTTTATGCGTCGGAAAATTCCTGTAAAACGAATGATTTTGCCACTCCCATAAAGATTTAAAATCCGATCAAAATGGTTTATGGTTGGTTTATGGTGGAAAATTCCTATTAAAACGAATGATTTTGCCACTCCCATAAAGATTTAAAATCCGATCAAAATGGTTTATGGATGGTTTATGGTGGAAAAATCCTATTAAAACGAATGATTTTGCCACTCCCATAAAGATTTAAAATCCTATCGAAATGGTTTATGGATGGTTTATGGTGGAAAATTCCTATTAAAACGAATGATTTTGCCACTCCCATAAAGATTTAAAATCCTATCAAAATGGTTTATGGATGGTTTATGGTGGAAAATTCCTATTAAAACGAATGATTTTGCCACTCCCATAAAGATTTAAAATCCTATCAAAATGGTTTATGGATGGTTTATGGTGGAAAATTCCTATTAAAACGAATGATTTTGCCACCCCCATAAAGATTTAAAATCCTATCAAAATGGTTTATGGTTGGTTTATGGTGGAAAATTCCTATTAAAACGAATGATTTTGCCACTCCCATAAAGATTTAAAATCCTATCAACATGGTTTATGGTTGGTTTATGGTGGAAAATTCCTATTAAAACGAATGATTTTGCCACTCCCGTAAAGATTTAAAATCCTATCAAAATGGTTTATGGATGGTTTATGGTGGAAAATCCTATTAAAACGAATGATTTAGAGGTACACCCATGTCAGGAAACCTCCATAGTCGCAACTCCCCTGGCCAGATTTGCCTTTTGCCTACCGTCTCGAAGTGGATCCCAAAGAGTCGAGCGGGCAACTCAGAAGATGCCGTGGATCTGTGGTGAAAACATGCTATGATTGGGCAAAAAACACAAGAAACATGGAGGATTTATTGGAAGAAAAGAAGACACCCTGTCAAAAATTAAGTTAGTTCTTCGTGGATACAGATTATATATTCCTCCATAAAAACAGCTAACAACTACCAAACCATTGGCCAATTCACAGGTCGGCTGCCCAATTATATTCCCATGGGAGTCCACTGTGTTGATTTATCGGTTTTGATCCATAAAATGGAAGAAC